TATTTCTTGACTATATAAATCCCTTTTAACATTTGTTGTAAAGCTGGTTTGGTGGTACTGAATTCTCTTATCTTTTGCTTGTCTGAAAAGCTTTTGAATTCTCCAGCAGTTTTGAATGAGATCCTTGCCAGGTACAGTAATCTTGGTAGTAGAGTTTTCCCTTTCAGTACTTTAAATATATCCTGCCATTCCCTTCTGGCCTGCGGAGTTTCTGCTGAAAGATCAGGTGTTAAGCATATGGGGTTTCCCTTGTATGTTACTTGTTGCTTCTCCCTTGCTGCTTTTAATATTCTTTCTTTGTGTTTAGTCTTTGTTAGTTTTATTAGTATGTGTTTTGACATGTTTCTCCTTGGGTTTATCCTGTATGGGACTCTGCCTTTTGGACTTGATTGACTATTTCCTTTTCCATGTTGGGGAAATTTTCAACTATAATCTCTTAAAAATTTTCTCATACCCTTTTTTCTCTTCTTCTTTGAATTAAAATGTTGGTGCTTTTGATATTGTCCCCGAGGTTTCTGAGACTGTCCTCAGTTCTTTTCATTCTTTTCACTTTAATCTGCTCTTCAGAAGTTATTTCCATCATTTTATCTTCTAGCTCACTGATTCCTTCTTATGCTAAAGATATTCTGCTATTGGTTCTTCCTAGAGTATTTTTAATTTCAGTACATGTGTTGTTTGTTTCTGTATGTTTATTCTTTAATTCTTCTAGATGTTTTTTAGTTGATTCCTGCATTTTCTCCATTTTGTTTTCAAGGTTTTTTATTATCTTTACTATCATTATTCTGAATTCTTTTTTAGGTAGTTTGCCTGTTTCCTCTTCATTTATTTGAACTGCTCCATTGCTAGTTTGTCCCTTCATTTGTGTGGTATTTCTCTGCCTTTTCATTATTTGAGGTCTCCTTTTTCCAGGCTTCAAGGTTGAATTCTTTCTTCCTTTTGGTGTCTGCCCTCCTAAGTTTGGTCCAGGGGTTTGTGTAAGCTTCCTGTAGGGTGAGATTTGTGCTTAAGTTTTGTTTGTTTGTTTTTTTCTTTCTTTTTCCTCTGATGGGCAAGGCTGAGTGAGGTGGACATCCTGTCTGCTGATGATTGGGTTTGTATTTTTGTTTTGTTTGTTGTTTAGAGGAGGCGTCCTGCACAGGGTGCTACTGGTAGTTGGGTGATGTTGGGCCTTGTGTTCAAGTGATTTTCTTTGTGTGAGTTCTCACTATTTGATACTCCCATGGACAGAGGAGCCTGTTGGGCTGCGGTCCATGGGGTCTCTAGGAGTCGGACACGACTGAGCAACTTCACTTTCACTTTTCACTTTCATGCATTGGAGAAGGAAATGGCAACCTACTCCAGTTTTCTTGCCTGGAGATGCCCAGGGACGGGGGAGCCTGTTGGGCTGCCGTCTTTGGGGTCGCACAGAGTCGGACACGACTGAGGTGACTTAGCTGCAGCAGCAGCAGGGTTAGTTCTCTGGTAGTCTAGGGTCTTAGAGTTAATGCTCCCACTCCAAAGGCTCAGGGCTTGATTTCTGGTCAGGAATGAAGATTCCACAAGTGGTTTATTATGGCATGTGAGATTAAAACAAATATCCAAAAACAAGAAACCAAAGATGAACCCTAGACAAATGGCAGTTACAAAATCAGGCAAATAATAATTTTAAAAAATGGAATATACACATACATATATATATACACATCCATGAGCAAAGTCAAAACAGTCCAAGAAAAATAAAGTACAGTAGATTGACCTGACAAACAAAGGAAATAAAAAATTATATTTACCAGTTAAGAACAAAACTAACTAAAGCAGAAACTGGAAAACAAATCTAATGCAAGGTGTCAAGTGGGGAATAAAGCAATGAAAACAAAAGTAACAAATATGTTGAGAGGAAAGGAAGGAAAGGAAGGAAAGAATAGATATGCAAAGTTAAATAGAGGTAGATGAAGAGGATTTATGTACACTAAACATTAACTGCAAGGGGAAAAGAACAGTAAGAAAGGCAAACAAAGGAATAAATGTGGAAAATATATAATAGGTTTAAAAAAATTAAAAATTATAAAAAAAAGAAAAAGTGAGGAAAGAAAAAGGAAAAAAAAAGGGAAAGCTCCACAGAACTGCAGAAATCCAATGTAGAGGCAGAGGTTTATAACAGCAATAAAAAGTGTGACTGAATAAACACATACACATATCCACCCATAAGCAAAATCAAACATTCCAACAAAAATAAAGTATAATAGACTGACCCTGCGAACAAAGGAAATCAAAAATTATATTTGCCAGAACAAAACAAACTGAAGCAGAAACTGGAGAACAAAACTAAAGCAAGATGCCGGCTGGGGAATAAAACAATGAAAATAAAATGAACAAATATGTTGAGAGGTAAGGAAAGAAAGAATAGATATACAAAGTTAAATAAAGGTAAATAAAGAAGATTTATATACATTAAGGATTAACTGCAAGGGGAAAAGAACAGTAGGAAAAGCAAAGAAAGGCGTAAATGTAGGAAAAATAATAATAGGTTTGAAAAATTAGAAATTAATATTAAAAAATTAAGAAAAAAAAAGAAAACTCCACAAAACTGAAAAAGCCCAATGTAGAGGCAGAGGTTTATAGCAATAGTAAAAAATGTAATTGAGGAAAAAAAGAAAAGCTCAAAAGCTTAGTTAGATTTCATAGTGTCAATAAAATTGACAGCTGCAACAGAGGGGGGAAAAAGGGGGAAAAAAAGAAAAAAAATCCTAAAGAATCTATACAGAATAAGTCAAATATCAGAATAATAAATGTTTTTCTTGAGTCACGGCTGTCAGAGTCCTCTCCCTCACTGGGAGTCACAGCCCACCTCACCTCCCTAGGATGCCCTCCAACATTGTGCTGATCTCTGGACCTGCTGTGGGGGCAGCTCAGGGTCTAATCTGGTCCTACTCCTGTGCGTTCTCCAATGTCCACAGCTGTCAGGACTAGAGTGTTTTCTTTTGGGGGAGCTCTCAATGACCTTTTACATATTCCATAGACATGAGTCTGCCTAGTTGATCATGTGGATTTAATCTGCAGGTGGTGGGAAGGTTTTGGGTCTTATTCCTTAGCCACACTGCCCCTGGGTTTCAACTGTGGTTTTATTTCCACCTCTGCACGTGGGTCATCACTGGGTATTGCTCCTGAGGCTGCCCTGGAGGACTTGGGTTTGCCCTGTGAGGGCCGGGTGTGGAGGTGATACAGCTGCTTGGGTCGCAGCGGTTCTGGCAGCACCAGGTACTCAGGGGGGTTGGCAGCTAGGGCAGCAGGAAATAGAGTGCTCTAGAAGGGAATGGCAACCAGTATTGGCCAATACTCTCTAGTGTTCTTGCTTGGAGAGCCTGCCTCTCTAACAGAGAAGCCTGTCAGGCCACAGTCTACAGGGTCGCAAAGGGTCCAGACACGACTGAGGTGACCCTGTGTGCATAGACGCAAGACTTTTTTTGCCTGTGGCAGCTCTACCCCAGTGAGGCTTGCAGCTGCTTGTCTGGCAGGGACCCTGGCAGTGCCAAGTGTGCTGGGACACAGACTGCCTCTGCCCTAGGAGTTGTGGCCTGATCAGAGTCTTTTTTCGAGCCTCTTGTAGCTGGCGATCAGAAGGCCCTTTGGTCAGTCTTTCTCCGTAGCTCCGCCCGTTCAGGCACTTAGACGGCTCCCTTGCCTGGGGTCCTTCTCTCTCGTTTGGGGTGTCAGGCACATAGAGGGGCCCGCTGGCTGGTTCCTACTCTGTAGATTGGCATGTCAGGCACTTAAAGGGGCTCCCTGGGTGGGGTCCTACTCTGTGGTTCAGTGCGTCAGTCGTTTGATGGGCCAGGCTCTCTATTGTTCAGCTGCTGATGCTGGCGTGTGGGGGGAGAGAGGCTATGGTGATGGTTTCACCCCCTACGCGTGACTCAGCAGTATTGCTCTGCTTCCATGGCTGCCTGTCTTTCCTCCACGGGAATTTCCCACCACGATCTCCTCCCTCACATCCCCTCGATCCGTCTCTCTGCAGTCAATAGCAGCTCTTGTCCTGGGATTGCTCCACAAAATCTAAACTCCAGCTCCCAACCATTGCGCCTTCCAGGGGACCTGTGTCCCTGTCTGGGGTGTGTGTGGCTGCGGCAAGGACTGTCTGATTCTCATTCCATTTAGGCTGCCACAGATCAGCTGTTTCACTCCCAGCCTTAACTGTTTCTCCTCTGCCTCAGATAGTTGCCCCGATGTGGGGATCAGACCCCTGCTTCAGTTTCTCCCACCTGCTGAGGGCAGGTCCAGTCGTACTAACACTTCTGTGTTACCCCCTAGTTCCTTCTTCCTACCGAGTTTTGCGTGGTTCTATATATTCTTTTCTGCTGGTCAGGTACTCCAGTCTGCTCTCAGCTGATGTTCTGCATGCACTTCTGTGTCTGAAGGTGTATTCCTGATGTATCCACGGAGAGAGATGTGCTCTGCGTCCACCTGCTCCTCTGCCACCTTGTTCCTAATTCCTGTCTTTTAGAGTCTGTCCTATTTAACAGTTCTATCTACTGCATTAAGCAGCTTACATTTTATAGTTATTTTGGACAGGCAGTAAATTCAAAACATATGAATGGAAGGAGCATAAATATGTGTTGTTGCTGAAGTTTTGCTGGAAAGCTTTTGAATCCGTATCTGTAAGTAGTTTTAAAAACCTAAGCTTACAAAAGCTTCTGTAGTTTTACTTCATTTTGAATATAGAGGTCATCTGGGAGAGGAATATGGCTGGCTCTTTGGCCTCTGTCCTAGCTTTCAGACAGAACGGTTATTACGTTAGTCGTTTTCTTTATGGAGTTGTTGTCTAAACTATGTTCAGTATATGATGTTACTTTCTAAATAGTTGCCAGATGTAAAATAAACTTCATTTGCTCTCTGTAGCTTTTGAGAGAAAACAGTACTTGTGGAATCATGTTACTTTGTTTCTGACAAGCCCTCAAAATTTGTGATCAGTAAGTTTAGAGTGTTATGTTTTTACCCTGTCATATTTGAATTTTTTGAAATAGATTTAATTGAAGCAAAATTAGTGGGAATATTGGATATTTTGGACGAAGAAAATCGCCTTCCGCAGCCAAGTGATCAGCACTTCACATCTGCAGTTCACCAGAAGCACAAAGACCATTTCCGACTTTCTGTGAGTTTTTCATTTCAAAGTTGAGGCTGTGGTTGGAAGAGAAACTTTCAAAGATGTGATAGATGTTAGATAATTAGAATCCTAAGTTTTGTAAGGCTTTGAACAACTATATTACATCTTCTGTAATTAATCCAGCACAGTGTCTTCTATAGATGACCATTAATTTATATCTGTATATTTTTGCTGCTGCTGATCTATCCAATCAAGGCCCTTTTAGTTGGATATAAAATACATTTCTCCTATATAAGATGTACAAAAAGACTCATGTACATTTTTTTGTACATCTATGTACTGTTTTTATGTTCTCCCTTCTGGGTGAAGTGGCCATCAGTCGCTCTGTTCTGTATTGTGTGAACTGGATCACTTCCCAGGGGTTAGGACCTAGAGTCACATGCAGCTACCTGTCTGCACATTGGTAAAACTCGCAAAGCTTGTGGCTAAGAGTCTGACTGGTAGAATCAATTCATTTAATGATCAGTAATTTCATTTTGATGCTCTTTCCTTAGGATTTTTGAATGGAAATTGTACTCAGAGAGGGTCGTAGAAGCTGAAGCAACAGAAGAATTAGCTGAAGGGTTAAATAGACACAGAGAGAGACAAGAAGAGACACAGAGAGAAATAAATGAGAAGTACTCTTCCAAAAAGGGTCAGGAGACCTGGTTCTCTAGACTGTTGTTTGTCATAGAGCTGTGCTTGAATGCCCGCTGTTGGTGGTGACCAGTAAGGCCTTTCTCCATAAGGCTGGAGCGTGCAGCTCTTGAGGTGTTTTCTGTGTTTAGCTAGCTCTGTGTTTATCTTTACACTCAACCTTCATCCCCTGACATAATCCAAATACAACTCCATCCTTCTGCCCAGAAAGAGCAGAGTAGCACAGAGAAATGTAGATGTTAATTTCACCCATGTAGACAGGTGCTGCCTCATCTTAGAACCACAAAGACAGGAAGGAAGGAAGAAGGAAGAGAAAAGAAAAACTCTTCAGAGTTGCAGTTGCCTTCTGTACTGTCACAGTTTTGAGACTGGGGCATGGTATAAGTCACTGCTTTGATGGGTCCAGGAGTTCAAGTGAATGAAAGCAGATACTCTTGTTTCCATACATCATTGACTAAATCAATAAGAGAAGCTGGTTGAAGGCATTTACTGAAAAAGCTGATATAATTACGCTGACCTTCTCTGGAGGCTGCATCCCACAACCACCTGCTCCACTGACTTGCAGTTCTTCTGTGTCCTTAAATAAATCTTAGGATGTGAAGACTGCCTCTCTTCACTTCAGTGGAGATAGAAATAAAACAGTGTGTGTCCCCAGTAAAACTTCTGCTAAGATCGAAGACGTGTATCCAGTCCTGTTTATTCACTGCTCTCTATGAGAACCAGTCTGTATGCCCAGTCACTTTTGCCAAGAGAACTGACTGCTGGTCAACAAATTGTGACCAAGGTTTCAGAGACATAGCGCTCCAAGGACAGCCAACAAGAGCACCAGGAATGGGCCTTGGTCACTTTCCTCAAAAGAGAACGAGAGCACAACAGTGAACTCTCATTTGTACGGTTCACTCCTTTTGTTGTTTTTCTTTGAGAATAAAAATAATGATAATCATTTATTGAATTGCTTACCATGTGCCAGGCGTATTCTCAGCATTTTGCTTGAGTTACTTTCTTTAATCCTCGTAATGGGCTTCGCTGGTGGCTCAGGTGGTAAAGAAACAGCCTGGAATGCAGGAGACCTGGGTTCTGTCCCCGGGTCGGGAAGTCCCCTGGAGGAGGACGTGACAACCCACTGTAGTATTCTTGCCTGGAGAATGCCCATGGACTGAGGAGCCTGGCGGGCTACAGTCCATGGGGTCACAAAGAGTTGGACATGACTGAGTGACCAAGCACAGCACAGTGCTCATAGTAATCCTCTGCTGTTGCTCCTGCTTGCTTCCCCATGCAGAGAGGGTAGGTGACCTCCTTTTCTAGAACAGAGAGAAAGGGTTGGATTAGGGCATCAGGCTGGCGTCTTGATCCCAGGGCCACCCTCTGACTCATGCTGTTTGCTGTCATGCAAAGGGGAGGCTCTGTGATCTGCCAGCTCTCTCACCCAGGATCAGCCTGGTGAGGTTATGTGGTCTCAGCTTTTTCATTTCTAAATGAGATAGTTTTTCTTAACCTTTGGCTATTTTGAGGGTCAGAGGTGATCTTTTATTTTGGACACTTTTAGAAATGATACCAGTATGAGATATTATAGTGATAGTATAGTGATAGTACAACCAGAAAGTGATTTTGTTTTCTTCAAATAGATTCGGGCTCATTGTGTAGAAGTGTTAGGATGTATGGCTAAAATCAGTAGGTGAGTTGTGTGCTGATTTCAGGTGTCTCAAAAGAACAACACTTCTCAACCTTGGTCACACCTGGGAATCACCTCATGTAAATGGTTTGGCGGTTTAAAAGTGCTCCAGATGACAATTCAGCAGCTACTACTTTAGACATAAGCAATTAACTTTATAAAATGCCTGTTGTGTTTTGCATGTGCCTCTTAATAGTGTGGTTTTGTTTTGTTTTGGTTCTTATTCCTTTTTTTTTCTTCCTAAGAGATTATAACCAAAAATATTTGCTAGATTTTACTGGTACATTAAGGCTTACTTAAGGAGCAATATAATTATATAAAGTATGAAAACTCCCTTTCTGATTTTAAGTATGTCACATCCCAGATGTTTTCTAAAGGGAGTTATTAATGTATATTTTTTATAATTTAATGACTGATGTATGTATTGATTTTCAGATTCCTAGAAAGTCTAAGCTGGCAGTTCACAGGAACATCCGAGATGATGAAGGCTTCATCATCAGGCATTTTGCCGGGGCAGTGTGCTATGAAACAGTGAGTAGAACATTTACAGGGAGAAAACCATTTGATGTTAAAGCTGCGCTGTACAATATGGTAATGTCTAGGCACATCTGGCTTTTTAAAGTTAAGCAAAATTTAAAATTCAGTTCCTCAGGACCCCGGCCATATTTCATGTGCTCGATGCTCCCGTGGCTGGTGGTGGCAGTATTGGACAGCGCAGACAGAGCATTTCTATTACCTCAGAGTGTTCTGTCGGACAACACCGTGTTAAGGAATATTACCACAAGATAGACTGAATCATTCCTGTCTGCTTTATTTTTCAGACTCAGTTTGTGGAAAAAAATAATGACGCTTTACATATGTCTCTTGAGTCCTTAATATGTGAATCCAGGGATAAATTTATCCGGGAACTATTTGAATCATCCACAAATAACAACAAAGACACTAAACAAAAAGCAGGAAAACTTAGCTTCATCAGTGTGGGAAACAAGTTCAAGGTATTTGTGGCAAATGTATTGCTAGCATTTTTTTTTTTTTTCTTACTGTATTAAAAAACTGTCTTTTACACTATCTGGTGGATAATGTAGTTCACTCTGAGAAATCCCATGAGTGAGATTCAAAGAGCAGACCCTGAATTGTTGATGTTTGTATGCAAAACAACATAAAGTAGGCACAGTAACGGAACAACAGAAATCCTGTAATTTTATGAACGTGTTCTTTCTTGGTGCTTAACATGTCTGATTGCTTCTCCTAATGTTCTTGCTTCTGCTTACTGTCTGGTTGACCTTCAAACCTTCTCTTGCCCATGTGTTTTCTGTTTCCTTCCTCATTGAGCAGTTTTGTTTTAGCTGGAGTAGCCCAGCTCGAGATGGCTAGAGAGGCCTAGTTGAGTTGAGAGAGGAAAAGCAGGCACTGCCAGGGGCTTCAGGTAAATGATCACCTTCGCGGACTCCTACTTACTAGAGCGGCTGCCGTGTTAAAGCCTGGCTCAGCTAATGGTTCAGTTTGTAGTTCATTTTTAATGTGTTTTCTCTCATAGTGCATTTTGGGTGTGCATATTACACTAAAATTTGATTAAAGCTTTTAATAACTTCCGTAAGAGATAAATACTTGGTGTGGCAAACCCTTCATATTTTTTAACACTGAAGAACACTACATTTGCCTCACTGATTTTGGATCAGGAATTTATTCCTTGAGGTCTGACAGGGAATTGTCACATGATGCATCTAAGAAATGGAACACTCTTGTTTGGTTCTAACTGTTGAGTATTTTGCAGATAAAAAGATAATTTAAAAACTTCATATCACTTTTAATGAATAAATGATAATGAATAGATAAAAGAAATAGAATTAATTTCTGTCTTATACATTTCCACAGTCTTTTTCTGTTTATAAGAAAACTGCATATGCCTTTCATTTTATGTACTTCAAATATTAAAAATAGTTTAATTAGGAACAGTATTTAATTAAGACTCAGAATACTAGGATACTGACAATGTAAGCTTCCTGAAATCCACTGTGAGCTGAAATGGGCTCTAAATAATCATGGTTATAAAACAAAAGGTGAAGCATAGATATAAGAGAAAGCTTAATCACATATTTTTCAGATAACTGAATAAAAAATCTTAAACTCTGTTTTAATTTATGTTAATTAATTAAGAGTTTCTTCTCTTTGAGTATTCTTTCTCTTATTTAGATATTCTTAAATTCTTACATAAACATATGCTGACAGATTGGTTTAAAATAGTACATTAGCCTGTATGAAATGGAGATCATTTATTAAGTATTTTCCTACATAATATGTTAGTATTGCTGGCAAGAGCACACTTGAAATTTTAGACACTTTATATAAGTAAAATAAAAAACATTCTTAAAATTCTTTGGACTAAGATAATTTATGTTAAGACTTTAAGTGCTTAAAATTGCTTAAATGCAGTATGATGCATTTTGCACGTCAGATTACTTGAAAACTGTAACTAAAAGCTGTAACATTATTCATAATAAAATTTGAAAATGTTCTGATTGTGATGCTTTGAAATGAAATAATAGTAATTCTTATTTTTAAGTATAGTAGAATAGTTGATTAAATTAAATTCACGTTATGTATGGCAATAAAACAGAACAGGCTAGCCTTTACATTACTGAGCATCACTGAGAACCGGAGGTTTCCCGCTGAAATGTGACATTTTCAGGTTATTGAAATGTAACTCTTTTACTATTAGTGTTTTAGAAAAAGTAATTATTTGATGAAAATCTTATTCTTTTATTATATACAGAAACAATTGTGTGTTTTAACATAAAATACAAATAAAGCATGAGTTGTGTAAGGCTGTACACCTTGTGGTCTTGGACCGCTAGTCTTTCGTGATGGACATTCCTCCCTCTTCTCTCAGATACTGTAGTTCATTTTTGCTGCTTCCATTCTTCATTCTCACTTTATCTCCATTTTTGGGGAGAGTACTGTGCTATGGATTAGGAACCATGGGCTTTGTGATAGTCATTTTCTTTCCAAATTAGTGGCTCTTACACTTGCTTTTCAGTTGTGTGCTGGTCCAGACTGGTTAAGGTTGTCAAAACTGTGGCAACCAGATAAGTGGGTGTATTTTTTTTAATCTAAATTCATTCTGTTTTTATAACTTAAGCCTATAATGTCCAGAGTGTACTGGAGTGTTATGCTTAAGAGAATGAACCTCTTAGGCCTTTGTTAGAATCTTGGTTTTGCTTTTACTAGTTCCATGATCTTGGCAAATAATTTCTCCCTCTGGGCCTCAATGTTTTCACCTGTAAAATGCGACTAATACATCCCTAATTAGAGTTGTGCAGATTAAACTTGATAGTACCTGTGAAAAGCTTTGAGCAGTGCCTGACTCATAGAAAGCATTCAGTAAAGTATACCTATTATTATTACTAGATATAGCTATGACTGAATAGATATGTTAATTTATCTTTTGTTAAGTAGTACAATAAACATCCCAGTATAAAATCAGTGCAACAATTTTACACAGTTTACTTTGCAGAGAAGTAAAGCAAATAGATGATTTTAATGTACTGAGCCAGAGTAAATTATAATCACTTAATATTATTTTAAAAAGGAAAGCAACAGTAACTACTTATAGTGTCCACTGTGAATTTTCTTTTGAAAAAATTGTCCTAGCCTTTAAAAATAATTGAAATGAGAGGTTTTAAAACAGTAAAGAGACTTTCAACAGGTAGGCAGGTCGGTTTCATTTATGATAGGTGTTACATAAAACAGTTCTAATATATAGCATGAGTGGATATTTTAAACATACCCTTATTCTTAGTGGAGTGTGACACAAGCTACACCCAGCTTGCCACGTATTCACGTACTGCTCCATCGATTCCCTTTTGAATGCATCACATCCGCATTTTCATTTACTTCTTTCGTTGCCTGTATACTTTTTCCTCATTCACCCCATCTCCAAGTGTGCATGTATGTTTTCTAGTATTGCTAATTTTCAGTCTTTTAACTACACAAGTTCTGTATATTTGTTTTCCTTGGTGTTATATATTAGCCATACATCTTTGCATGTTACTGTCTCTTAAAGAGATTGTGTAGAGCTGTTAAATTGTATCATGTTGTAGATGAGCATTATTGCATGTTATTTTATTCTTACGTTGAAGAGCTAATTTTTGCTTATGGTATTGTGTACTTTTGCTTTCTGAAATAATTATTTCTTCTACAGACACAGTTAAATTTGCTTCTGGATAAACTTCGAAGTACAGTGAGTATACTTAAAAAAACAGGGTTTTCTGTTTTTTTTTAAACAGTTTTTAAATGGTCCTCTTCCAACTATTATTAGTAATGATTAAAATAAGCACAGTAAACCTGGAATAATTAAAAATTTATTTAAAACCAAATTTCCTCGTTGAAAGAAAATCAGTTATTAAAATGGTTATCATTTTGGTTAGGTTTGTTCTAAAGACAAGTCAAATGTATATGGGCAGTCACATTGTTTTATAAACATATAGAATTCTCTGAATGTTATTAAGATTATCCTGTTGCTTCAGGAGAGTGAAAATAATTAGTTATTATAGAGAAGGAAGATGTATTTTTTAGGCTTAAAGACAGTGCATATAATTCATTTTCATTTTATTTCTCTGGTGGTAACATTCTCCAGCATGACAGTGTTGATATGGAAAAAAATGGACGTAGTATTTTAATGCTGTTTAATAGAGGCAGTAGTTCCTCAGAGACTTGTTTAAAATCTGGAATTTTAATTCCCTGTTTTTTTTAAAGAAAATTCACAATAGAAAGAAATTTGATATATGGCTTATAAGACATGACTTCAGGAGAAGATTATTTTTTATACAAATCCACAGAACTTAACTAAATACTCTTCATTTTCAAGTAGTCATTTTGAAAAGCCAAATATTTATTCTCTGTGCTATTATTGCTTAATTTATTGTTAGACTTGGTTTTGAAACCACTAAGAAATTGTCTTAAATATCTTCATTGTTTGCAAATATTTATCTCTTAAGGACACAACTTCTTTGAAAACCAAATCTGATGAGATATTTTATTTTTATCACCCAAATATGATGCTACTGTAAAATGATTAGGTTATAGTTGTGATTTTTTTTAAAAAGACTTTTCTAAAAAGCATTTGCAGTGAGCATCATTGTTGATATAACTGTTTGCAGGGTGTGACTACTTGGAAGAGAAGCTGTTACTTGATGTTCAGTGTATTAGCTTCAGTTCCCAACAGTTTCACTGTGTACATTGCAGTGTTCTCTCTGCCTCATTCAGCATAATCTGATAACTGATTCTAAATGAATGCCTTTAAGCTTTTAAAAATACATACCATTTAACAAAACTTTAAGATGTATAGTAGTGCAGCTTAGAGACCTACTGTATGTTTCTAAAATAGAATGATGAGAAAAGTTGGCTTTGGTTTTTTAACACTTTGGCCTAAATTTTAAGAGGCATAATCTTATTTGCTCATCTTGTCATAGGGCTGTTTCTTATCACAGCAACGTAGCACATAAATACATTTACATGTGGAGTATAATCACATGTATGTCATCCTGTGAAATATATTGTTTAAATATATTGAAATACTTTATTATGAAAAACTTCTCTTTTTACAGTAACAATTTTTGGCACTCAAATATAAAACAGTATTTTTCTAACATTATTACTGTATAAATGCTTTACATTATAAAAGTATGTGAATTGTTTTAAGTTCCTTGGTGATTATTTTAAGAGAGGTTCATAACTTAATGAAAATATGCTCTGAAAGTTGCTGATATTCTTAGAAAAATAAGAATGCTGCATGTTTTAAAGTACCTTTATTCTCCTAGGGAGCAAGCTTTATTCGCTGTATCAAGCCTAATTTAAAGATGACAAGCCATGACTTTGAAGGAGCTCAAATTTTGTCTCAACTTCAATGTTCAGGTATTTCTCTATTTTATAATCTATGTTGGGGTGTATCAAGAGTCTTACTTAGTTCAAATACAATTTAATATATCCAGTGTATTCAGATAATTTACAACTATCCTGATTATATTTAAGCACAGTAAGACTTTTATATTCCTTAAGAAGAAAGATGGACAAATTATTTGAACAGTATTGGTGTATAATATTATTTCACAGTAATCTTTTACCTCATTGAAGTATAATTTATAAAAGCTTTTCAACTGTGGAGAACAGTATGGAGATTCTTTTAAAAACTAGGAATAAAACTGCCATGTGACCCAGCAATCCCACTACTGGGAATATACCCTGAGAAAACCATAATTGAAAAAGAATTTGTACCCCAGTGTTCATAGTAGTTGTGTGTGCATGCTCAGCTGTGTCAAACTCTTTGCAACCTCGTGAATGGTAGCCCACCAGGCTCCTCTGTCCCTGGAATTTTCCGGGCAAGAATACTGGAGGGGGTTGCCATTTTCTACTCCAGGGGGTCTTCCTGACCCAGGAATTGAACACGTGTCTCTTGCATTAGCAAGTGAGTTCTTTACCACTGTGCCACCTGAGAATTCCACCCCCCTGGCCACTGCCCACCCCTCTCCCCGCCCAGGGTTCATAGCAGTACTATTTATGATAGCTAGGACATGGAAGTAACCTAGATGTCTATCGACAGATGAATGGATAAAGAAGATGTGGTACATATATACAATGGTATATAATGCGGCCATAAAAAAAGAATGCATTTGAGTCAGTTCTAGTCAGTTGGATGAACCTAGAACCTGTTTATACAGAGTGGAGTAAGTCAGAAAGAGAAAAACAAATATCATATGTTAACACATCGATACGGAATCTAGAAAAATAGCATTAGTGAACCTATTTGCAGGGAAGGAATGGAGACACAGATAGAACAGGCTTGTAGATACAGGAGGGAAAGGAGAAATTGAGATGAGGGAGAAAGTAGCATTCACATACATACACCATCATGTGTGAAATAGATAGCTGGTACGAAGTTGCTAGTTGCTGTTTAACACAGGGAGCCCAGCCTGGCGCCCTGTGATGACCTAGAGGGGTGGGAGGCTCAAGAGGGAGGGGTGGGGTGGTTGTTCACTGGCTCAGTCGTGTCTGACTTTTTGTCACCCCATGGACTGCAGCACACCAGGCTTCCCTGTTCTTAACCATATCCTGGAGTTTGCTCAAACTCATGTCCATTGAGTTGGTGATGCCATCCAGCCATTTCATCCTCTGTTACCCTCTTCTTTTCCTGCCTTCAGTCTTTCCCAGCATCAGGGTCTTTTCTAATGAGTTGGCTCTTCACAACAGGTGGCCAAAGTATTGGAACTACAGCATCAGTCCTTCTAATGAATATTCAGGGTTGATATCCTTTAGAATGAACTGGTTTGATCACCTTGCTGTCCAAGGGACTCTCAAGAGTTTTCTTCAGCACCACAGTTTGAAAGCATCAATTCTTCAGAGCGCAACCTTCTTTATGGTCCAGCTCTCACATCTGTACATGACTGTTGGAAAAACCATTGCTTTGACTATATGGACCTTTGTCAGCAAACTGATTTCTGCTTTTTAATATGCTGTCTAGTTTTGTCATAGGTTTTCTTCCGAGGAGCAAGCGTCTTTTAATTTCATGGCTGCAGTCACCATCTGCAGTGATTTTGCAGTCCAAGAAAATAAACTTTGTCACTGTTTCCATTTTTTCCCCATCTATTTGCCATGAAGTGATGGGACCAGATGCCGTGATCTTAGTTTTCTGAATATTGAGTTTTAAGCCAGCTTTTTCACTCTCCTCTTTCACCTTCATCAAGAGGCTCTTTAGTTCTTTTACACTTTCTGCCATTAGGGTGGTGTCATCTGCATATCTGAGGTTATTGATATTTCTCCCGGCAGTCTTGCTTCCAGCTTGAGCTTCATCCAGCCTGGCATTTCAAATGATGTACTCTGCATGTAAGTTAAACAAGCAGGGTGACAGTATACAGCCTTGATGTACTCATTTTCCAATTTTGAACCAGTCTGTTGTTTCATGTCCGAAGGGGATGTATGTATATTTATGGCTGATTTGCATTATTGTATGACAGAAACCAACAGAACATTGTGAAGCAGTTTTCCTCCAATTAAAAAATAAATAAAAAATGACTCAGAAAACCAAAAAACACCCTGTAGCTGTGAACCCAGATCTCCCTCTGTGGGTGCTTTCTGTGGCTTTCTTTCCATGGCCTTTTCAGTCCCACAGCAGTTCATTCCCCATGTAACTGGGCCAGGTTTTGGTGTCCTTGCTTCTCACTCTGCTACTTATTAAAAAACAAACAAACAACACAGTGCCCTTGAGAAAGGACAGACATGGCCAGGTGAAGGGTAGAGAGTGATGGTTTAACCAAGTGCAGAAAAGTTCCATGGGAGCCAAGGGAATTGTGCTGTTTTCTTTTTTATTTTCTTTTTACAAATAGTAGAGTGAGACGCAAGGACACCAAAACCTGACCCAGTCACGCAGGTCAGGGGCCCGGGACTGTTTTCTTTATCCTGTGCCCGTCCTCTGTCCTTCTCATACCACCCCTGCCTCTCCCAGGGCACAGGCCTTTCCCCGCTACAGATTCAGGCCTGGGACACTTCCTGAAACCCTCTTGCCAACCTGACTCCATTTCTTGCTCCTCGTAGTGGCAGATTTATTAGAAAGCTGAGGTCGCTTTAGCTTCAGAGCGCCTTGTTTATATGGGCTCCTTTCAGAACCCACCTGATACATTCTTTGTAATTTATAATTTCGTAGTTATTTCTTAAACAGCCATCCCCCAATTATATAAGCTTCAGTTCAGTTTAGTTCAGTTGCTCAGTCGTGTCTGACTTTCTGCAACCCCGTGGACTGTAGCACGTCAGGCCTTCCTGTCCATCACCAACTCCCGGAGTTTACTCAAGCCCATGTCCATCGAGTCACTGATGCCATCCAACCAGCTCATCCTCTGTCGTCCCCTTCTCCTCCTGCCTTCAGTCTTTCCCAGCATCAAGGTCTTTTCCAGTGAGTCAGTCCTTCAAATCAGGTGGCCAAGGTATTGGAGTTTCAGCTGCAGCGTCAGTCCTTCCAATGAATATTCAGGACTGATTTCCTTTAGGATGGACTGGTTGGATCCTTACAGTCCAGGGGACTCTCCAGAGTCTTCTCCAACACCACACTTCAAAAGCGTGAATTCTTCAGCACTCAGCTGTGTCTACCCGTGACCCCTCTCCTAAAACCTTAGCTGTTGATGAATCGTTCTCTCCTCACCGCATGGAGAAGGTGGGCAAGGCAGACTGACACTGCTGTAAACTCATGATCACTAACCTTCAAGGGGCTCTTAGGCCTACCCACCGAGTTTCCCTGGCCGGCAGGTTTTGTTTCTCCCCAGGGACCAGTCTGACGCACCCTGCCCTCCTCAGGTCTCTGAGCCTCTGTCAACAGGCAGCCTCACCTCTTTTTACGCAAAAGCTGAACGCCTTACGTGTGTGCTGCCCAATATCTTTACCCGCATGCCTTCCCTCCTGATGGAAAGCAGAAAGTGCCTCTCTTCCTCATTGAGACTGTAGTGTTTTGGATTCATCCCTCCCTGCCTTCTCAGGAACCCCGAGTACTGATGACCTGTACTGAAGCTTCGAGACGGCCTCTCCCCCCTGAACCTCATCTTCTTTCCCTCTCAGCAACATTTCCAGCTCCCTTCCCATCTCTGGCCTTAACTTTCTGTTCTCCAGGTTTTGCTTTTCTCTCCAAGAATATTCTCTTCTTGCTTTCTCAGTTTCCTGCCTTCCACTGACTCTTGAGCCCAGGAGAAATCAGCTCCCACCAGGATGATTCTGGGTAGGACCTCTGGTGACTCTCCTGATCCTGAATTAGGCGTTTCTTTGCAGACCTCATCTCAGGGGACCGCCGCAGCGTCAGGCTTCACTCTCTCGCTGTAACATCGCCTTTCCTTGGCTGTTAAAACAGCGTGTGTCCCTGCTTCTCCTTTGATGCTTGGCCGTTCCTGCCTCCTGTGCAGGGTTGTCTTCTTCCACCTGGGTATCCCTTGTTGGACCTGTTCTTCTTCCCACTTCTATCAGTGCTGTTTGATAGAAGGGGGGTGGGGGTGGAAATAATCTGTACCCGTGTTGTGCAGTATGGCAGCCACTAGATACTTGTGGCTGTTGATCCCTTGAAATGTGACTAGTAATTGTGCTTAGTTAAAAAAAGTTAAATGTAAATAGTCACACGCGACAAACGTAGGCAGTGTATTGAAAAGCAGAGATGGTTACTTTGCCAACTAGGATCTGTATTGTCAAGGCTGTGGTCTTCCAGTGGTCACATATGGTTGTGAGAGCTGGACTGTAAAGAAGGCAGAACACCAAGGAACTGAGGCCTTCGAACTGTGATGCTGGAAAAGACTCCTGAGAGTCTCTTGTACAGCAAGGGGATCAAACCAGTCAATCTTAAGAGAAATCAACCCTGGGTACCCGCTGGAAGGATTGATGCTGAAGCTGACTCCCCAGTATTTCGGTCACCTGATGCAAAGAGCTGACTCATTGGAAAAGTCCCTGATCCTGGGAAAGATTGAGGGCGGAAGGCGAAGAGGGCATCAGGATGAGATGGCTGGATGGCATCACCGATGCAATGGACATGAACTTGGGCAAACTTCGGGAGATGATGAGGGACAGGGAGACCTGGCATGCTGCAGTCCATGAGTCGGACACAAGTCACGTGTGGCTGGTGCAGCTACAGAGCATGTGTCCAGAAGCTGCCACACTGGACGGCCTAGGCATGTTCTCAGTCTGGGTCTCCGCAAGCCCCTTTCCATGTGACCTAAGGAGTATGTCTTTTACTCCTTCAGATTTGCTGAGATGTAATTGACATATAACATTGTATAAGTTCAAGTTGTGCAGTGTGTTGATTTGATACACTTACATATTGCAAAATGGTCACCACCATAGCATTAACTCAGAATCTCATCAGGCCAGGTAATTACCACTGCTTGCCTGTGGTGGGAACATTTTAAGCAGTGAGCCTTGGGACTCCCTAATTCAAGCTGTCACCATCTTTCACCTGACTTTTTGCTGACGTTTCTTAACCATCCTCTTTGTATCTGCTTGGTCTGTTCTTCGCATACGTCCAGAATTACTGCCTTACAACTCAAACCTGAGCATGCCTTTTTATTGTGTAACATGCTGCAGTGCTTCTGACTCTGGTTGGGGTAAAGAGCAGAATTCTTGCAGCTTGTGAGGCCCCGTGTGATCTGGCCCATGTGCCCGTTTTTCTCTGTTTTCTCTGTCTGTTCTCCAGTCACTCTGGGCTTTGTTTTAGTTTCTTAAATGCCCTGTATTCCCTCTGGTCCCGGGGCCTCTGCATCTGCTGCTTCCTCTGTTTGATAAACTCTCATCTACCCTTTGTCTTCATTGTTCACATCTGAGCTTGTTGTCATTTCCTTGTGAAAGCCTTTCTTGATGGCTCCAACAAGGAAGGGGGCCCGAGCAAAGGGTCCCCAGCACCTTCATTTCAGAGTCACAGATTTTATTTAATTTCTCCTTTCTCTAAGAATCTGTAAACTCTTGAGGGCAGAAACCGTCCTGACTTGTATGCATGTTCCTGCTTCCTGGCGATACAAAGCATATACTAGACTTAGTAAATATCTGTTCAATGAAATACACAGGCTAGGAAATAAAGATTTATTCTTGACTGATTTTAACAAATACTAGAAAGTTAAATATGGCAACCCACTCTAGTATTCTTTCCTGTGAAATCCCATAGACAGAGGAGCCTGATGGGTTATAGCCCATGGGGTCTCAAGAGTTGGACACAATTTAGTGACTACGCCACCACCACCAGAAAGTTAAATAAATGAAGTCTGTTTTATTCCTACATGTGTATAGTTGTATTTTTGTAATATTTTCTTCAGATCATTTTTGCTTGGAGTCTAGTTATTTTCCTCATTTAAATTTCTCTTTAGGATTTAGTTAGCCTAATATAGTATCATTTACCTCCTACTGAGCATCCATTGTCCTGGAAAGTCAAGTGTATTTAGATTTAGCTTTATGCACTATTAGATTAGCAGAATGTGGGCCCACTAATGCTTTAGCTGGGCTTCCTCTTTCAGTAAGCAGTTCATTTTAACAAGCTATGTTGGCAGTTTAATAGATGCCACCAATTCATAATAGTTTGATTTTTTTTTATAATACTAATCACAGTAAAATGGCTTAGAATTGGTAGTTGTATGACTAGGTAATGAGAAAAAGCAAAAAAAAAAATTACCAATAACTGGCAGAAGTAAAAATATTTGTGACGCTTTCTAAAGTAAAGACATCTAAGATTGGAATTCTCCTTTGCCTTTCCATTTCTATTTTTTTTTCCAACTTACGGAGAATAATTAATTTAGGACACTTTTACTAAAGGGACAGTCTTCTGATCTGCCAGCCCCAGGGAGAGCAAGGGAAAGTAAGAGAAGGCAGGTCTTCCTTTAACCTGGGGGCCTGCTCCCTGGATGGCAGCAGAGAGGGCTCCAGGGATGGCCAGCCGGGACTGCACCAGGAGGCGCTTCCCCAGACTCCCCTGCGGAGAAGCGGGGCATGCGAATCTCTAGAAGGAAGGGTACTTGGTTTGGTGATTTTTACATTTTTAAGCCTCAGAATATCTTTAGAGTAAATTAGCTTCAAGTGTGGAGAAAGTAACCATAGACCTGGTAATTTGCTAAGCTCCATGAAATTCTTAAAGAACTTCTGCGAGCCACTTCCTATGTTGTCTGCAGCAGTAGAGCAAGCCAAGGGGCTCAGGTTGGGATGCTCACGCTTCTGAGGGCACTTGTTTATTCGATATACATGGGCGACAATTCTGACAGTGCCAGTCAAACCTTACTTTTCTTTCTCCAAACAGCCAGAACCTCAGTCTAGTTCTGGAAATTTCTTTCCATAAGAACAGCTGCCTTTGTGTGTTCCATTAAATTAAATTTAATACTATATTTAATTTAGTATTAAACTTTGTTTTATTATAATATATAGAATGTTATATATTATAATAGTATGTATAAATTATGTATTACATATACTATATGATTATATTGACAATTATAATAGTTATATATGTTCACTGTAACAAAAATGAAATGGTACAGAATAATATAAGTAAAAAGAAGTCTCAGTTCAAAAAGGTGACCATTAAACTCTGTGCCTTGAACATATTTTTTATACTTGCTAAAGCTCTGCCTTATTATTTCTAATTAATATATCATATTCTGTCTTATGATTGTAGTATAATTTGATTAGTATTTAACTTATTTCTGTGTTTTGTATTACTAGCAATGACCCAGTGAATTTATAGACCTTCTCTATGTGTATCTTTGCCCACATATGTGACAAGTTGTAGGATAGATTCATAGAAGTGAAAAATAGTCAAAGGGATAACTATCTGTTATTAGCATTTAATATTAATAATATAAATAATTATTCCAAATTGCCATCTGAAACTGTCACACTGGTTTACTCTCCCACTAAGAATGTACGTGTGTGTTTTCCTACACTGTCATCATCCCTAAGTATTATTGGGGTTTTACACCTTTGTCAGTCAGATTAAAATTCAATCTGATTGCCTAGAGAGACTATCTTTCCAGTGAGATTATTTTAAAATAAAAACCTACCCATTTAAGAATACTTAATAATTTTATTTTGCTAATTAAAATTTTTGACCAGCAGAAATGTATTTTGGTTATAAGGAGTGAGGTATGAATCTGATGTTATTTTTGTTTTCCTTGTTAACCATTCGTCCTAATAATTTTTATTGAATTATCTTATTTTCTTCATCTATTTAAATAGTCCTGTAGACTGAAATCCAGGTCTTTTTATAAACAAAAGTCCTGGTATTATCAATAGTTGAGCCTTTTCTTATGCTTTTCCTGCCATGAAAAGCTCACATTGACTCAAGGCCCAAATCAGTCATTTACTAAAGTTATACTGAATGTCAATAGTCATCCTATAGACTCTACCCCAGTAGACTAGCTCCTTTGAGAGGTGAGTGAAATGGGGGTCTTTAGAGTGAGATAGTCTTCTGTCTGCTCCATTTGCTTTAAGTGCTGGTGAGAACCAGTCTTCGTCTTGGAGACTCTTAATCTTATTCCAGAAGTAACCTCAGAACTTGGAAAACTGAATGCAGGTCTTTGCCTTGTATACTGTGACACAAAGGTTTCCAGCAAAAAAAAATAGATACAAACTACATTTGAATTTTCAAATTTATCTCTAGAAAATTTAGTCAGGCTAGTTTTACTTTATTTTCACTTTCTTGCAATTTATTTTATTTCTAATATCATGCCTTACACACAGGGACACAATGAACATCACTTGCAGATATCTTCATTTATTTCTGTTGAAGAAATCTGTGCCATCACTAAAACAGAAAATATGCATGTGTTTAAATTTGACAGATTCTGTAGCACTGCTCTCAAAATCCTGAAGCATCTTTTATTTCCATAAATAGTGTATTAAAAAGTAATTTCCCCCCACAGTCTTAGCAGCACTAAATATTATCAACATTGAATATATTTAAAAAAGCTAGTCTGAGATGAAATTTGGTTGCAGTAGTTTTTAGGTGGTGGATAAGTTGGGAACATAAGCATGATGTAAGTATGATTTTTCTATATAATATTTCATTGCAGATAATTTCTGTAAATTACCCTTTTTAATTTGTAAAATTCTTTGATCATTTGCAAATTATCTTTGGACTTCTGTACGGTGATTGGCACTAAAACTTGTGTTTGTTTATGAATCTAGGTATGGTGTCTGTCTTGGACTTGATGCAAGGTGGTTTCCCATCACGGGCTTCATTTCATGAACTCTACAACATGTATAAAAAGTATATGCCAGATAAACTTGCAAGATTAGATCCAAGACTATTTTGTAAGGTACAAATACTAGATAAATTGAGATTTATTAGTTATAAACTCTTTTTTATTAATTCCTAATTGGCATTTAACTTTTATTTTTCAGGCTCTTTTTAAAGCTTTGGGCTTAAATGAAGTCGACTACAAGTTTGGGTTAACTAAAGTATTTTTTAGACCTGGCAAGGTAAATGCATTTTTATTTTAGATTGTAACATAATTAGTATGGACAGTTGGAGTCAGTGAATATTTTTAAGTGTTTAGTGATTTATATTATTCTTAAATTAGATAATCGCTTAGAGCATTCTTATATATGGGACACACATACACAAAATTTTCCCACTGGTGAGAAGTTTCCAATGTATAGCACTCTATAGAGTTTTTGTTTTTGTTTTTTTTCCTCTAGCTTTGGAAGTATTGGAATCAGAGGACTGTTTAGTTGAAATTTTTACTTAAAATAAGGGTTAACCAGGAATACTTCTATTTTAAACAAGTTAAAAGCTTTTCTAAAACATTGATTCGGGCTTCAGTAATTAAAAGTTTCACAGTACTTTTGAGTGTTCATTGTGAGGATGAGATCTGTTAGAACATGATAGATGTATAGCATATAAAAAATTGGACTGGAGTCTCTGCTGACTTCTGTCAAATCATAGAAGGGATGGCTGTATGCGTACTTTTGTACTAATACGGTTTTCTTAGGCTATCCGTGGTTTTAGTATTTATAGATTCTTGCACTGGTCTTGTACTATGATACAAAATTGAGTTATGGAATATTTCAAGACTAAATACACATTATGCAGAAATACTTACGTGCCATTCACAGTCTATTCATAGTATTTTCACCACTCTTGACTTCTTTAATATTGATTGAATATTGCTTTCTCATCATTTTAAACATAATAGTTATTATGTAATAGACAACTATACTTGTTTGACTTAGCAAAATCATTCATAAATATCTCTAGTGCCTTGAAGGCTAAATTAATCAGATAAATAAGTCTGATTTCACATTTTGAGGCATGAGATGAAATCTGTGTAATGCATTACCAATGTATGCCCTTTCCTATGAATATTTTTACTGCAGAAAACCTGTATCATCTCTTATCATAAATGGAAGCAAGTTAAGAGAAAATGAATATATAAGTATTCATAGTTGACTTGGCTGTAATCATACATATTTATCAGAAACTCAGCATTTCTTATTTCAGATCTATAATAACTATTTTAGGGATTTATAGCTTGACAGAGAAAGCACTTGGTTTTATCTGCCTCCAGAAAAATTAATCAGTCAGAAGGACACAGTGCAGGCACAGGGAAAATTTTCAAAGATCATTAATTACCTTTAATTGTTACCTTTAATTTTGATTTTAAGAAGCTGTTATTTTGATAGGTTATGTGACATCCTCAATATATTGTAGTGGGATATTTGGTAAGGGATAGAAATCAATATGCAATTTGGTGGTAAATTGTGGAAATAATGCATTTTGTGATTTAATAACCTAATAGATGTTTCGCTTGTATTGTCTGTCTCTTAGTAGCAGTTTCTTCTTTCTGACCAAAAGAAGGATGGGGTTAGGAGAGACACAGTAGTTTTGGTGGTACCCAATTTTATAGAGCTGACCTTCACTTATAAACAGTTATCTGGGAATATGGATGAGCCAGTTCAGAGATATATTAGACTTTTTTTCATTCTTCTCTCCGTAAAACCTTTTTGCCCATCATCTATAATGGTCATTTAAGATTTTTTTCCTACGTTTATTACTGAGTCTGCTAACTAGCAATGAGTAACTCACCCTCCCCATAACCTCTACAAAACGAGTCCTGGAGGAAGGAGGAGAAAGACAGCAAAATTCAGTCACGTGTGTCTGGGTTTGCTATGAAACTCCACTAAGACATGTCTGTGTAATGGGCTTGTGACCACTTAGAGAAAACTAGATTTTGATTTGTGTTCTGGTTATTTTGTATCTCGCTGTGTGTTTAAGCACATCTGTCTTTTGATATTATTAGTCAATTATTTGATTTCCCAGTTTGCAGAGTTTGATCAGATTATGAAGTCTGACCCTGACCACTTAGCAGAGCTGGTCAAGAGGGTCCACCACTGGCTAATCTGCAGTCGCTGGAAGAAGGTCCAGTGGTGCTCGCTGTCCGTCATCAAACGTAGGTGTTTTCTTCCACCCTCAGAATGGAAATTGTGTTGGAAACGAGTTGGTTTGTGGAACATTATTAATGTGTCTCAGTGGTGAGAGCTACGCCCCAGGGACTGTGTCACTTACTCACAGTGTATCCCTGGTTCCTCACGTAACACCTTACATGTAGTATGTGATAAATGAGTACTTGGGGACTTCCTCGGTTTCTTGAGTGTGTGATACTTAGCTTCTTTAATCACATGTATTAGAGTTAACTTCATCTTGTTCTGAAAACTCTCTCACCATCCTGATTCCTTCCCTCTCTCCCCTAGTCTCTCCCCCTTGCTCCCCTCTCCCCCTCCGGTACCCCAGTCTCTGGGACTTTAACCAGAACTTTTCTTTGCACCCCCATGGCATCACCAGAATACACACGGAAGATTTCACAGTTGTGTTGTCTCTTCTTTCTTGTCCTTGAAATCATGCCAGTCACCAAACTCTGTTGTTCCCCTCCAAACACTGCACATCTTGGCTCCTTGTTGCCACTGTCTTTGTGGAGCCCCTCTCCCCAGCTTGCATAGTGACTTCAGCGGCTCCCAACCTGGTTTCCTGGCTTCCCAGGGCCTCTAACTCTAGTGATTCTGACTTTTCTTTAATGCAGGGCAAAGTCTAAAGTCTCAGAATGTTACAACAACTACTTGTCTCTGATGTAAAACAGGGATGAGGGACAGAGTAATTGTGGGTTACCTGATGGTGGTGGTCTATGCAAAACCTTTATCATAGGGAGTATTTCAGTAACTTGATTAAAATTTTAAAGCCCCGCCCAACTCTCCACCTTACCTGGAACAGTGCTAGAGGCACAGGAAAAGGATTCAGCACATTTCTGCTTACTAATTAAAAAAAAATTCCTTTGACCTAACAAGAAGGAACCATGCAGACAGCATGCAACCATGAGGTCTTGTTAGTCAGTTGTAATAGAAATAAAACCAAAACTGTAATAAAAAAGATAACAGAAGCTCTTTCCCCATCACTTTCTAACTGAAATATGAGCATACTTGTCACTATAGTTAAATGCTTTCAGCTTTAAACATTGTATTATGATGGAAAACATATTTTATTAACATTATTTCTACTATACTGTTTGTTTGTGGACTATATTGTGCAGTGGTCAAGTCAGTAAGTAGACAGAATCGCTGCAGGATGTTGATGGGGAATGTCTCCAGGTCAGATTAGTCTAGGATGTTCTGAGTGATGAAGTTAAGTAGAGTCCTTTGTGGTGGGATCCTTAGAGGCCACATGGTATGTTCATTGTGAATCTTTAGAAGGAGGCGTAGCAGATAGCTTTTCCCGAGTTCATTTGACAGGTGAATCCTTTTTTCAAGACACACCTGTTGGACTTCCATGGTGGTATGTGGTTAAGAATCTGCCTGCCAATGCAGGGGACAGGGGTTCAATCCCTGGCCCGGGAAGATGCCACATGCTCAGAGCAACTCAGCCTGGGTGCCACAACTATTGAGTCTGCACTCCGGAGTCTGTTGCAACTACTGAAGCCCATGCACCTGGATCCTGTGCTCCACTATCCTGTTGAGAAGCCACTAAAGTGAAGAATAGCTCCAGCTTGCTGCAACTAGAGAAAGCTCACATGCAGCAATGAAAAAAAAAGTGCACCTAATAAAAAAGCAAAAAGGCACACGCTTTAACATTTCCTAAGCCAATATTGCCTAGGACAGTTTGGGACACATTAATTTAGCGTAACAAGGAAATAGCATATGTAAACTGTTACTTAGCCATATAGTTGATATACTTTTTGTTTTAAGAAGTTTAAGGAGCTAAAGAAATGTTGTGCCAACTTTGATGTCTGGTATATGTTCATCGAGATTTTTATGTTTCTTGAGAATTGCTTTGTGGAAATGAGTGTTTTTAGAAATACTGTATGTTTAAGCTAAATAATTTTCTATCATTATGTTTTCCTCTTACACATAGTGAAAAACAAAATAAAATATCGAGCTGAAGCCTGCATTAAAATGCAGAAAACTGTTCGAATGTGGCTTTGCAAAAGGAGACACAAACCTCGGTAAGATGAATAGAGTTTAAAGAATCCACGATACCTGTTTATTCTAATATAAAATGGCTAGAAGGTCAAAATAAAGAGCAGTTTGCATACTCAGAGTTTTCTTTTTTCTCGTGTTCTTTGTAAAAAGATGTGTTAGTCTGTTACTTGTTGGATATTAATTAATTAATTTCTTCATTCATTCATTACTTGCCTCATTCTGTAAAAGGATCTGAAGTAGCTTAGGTTCAGTTCAGTTCAGTTGCTCAGTCATGTCCGAATCTTTGCAACCCCGTGAACCGCAGTATGCCGGGCGTCCCTGTCCACCACCAATTCCCAAAGTTTACCCAAACTCATGTCCATTGAGTCGGTGATGCCATCCAACCATCTCATCCTCTGTCATCCCGTCTCCTCCTGCCCTAGATCTTTCCCAGCATCAGGGTCTTTTCAAATGACTCAGCTCTTCACATGATGTGGCCAAAGTGTTGGAGTTTCAGCTTCAACATCAGTCCTTCCAATGAACACCCAGGACTGATCTCCTTTAGGATGGACTGGTTGGATCTCCTTGCAGTCCAAGGGACTCTCAAGACTCTTCTCCAACATCACAGTTCAGAAGCATCATTTCTTTGGCGCTCAGCTTTCTTCATAGTCCAACTCTCACATCCATACATGACTACTGGAAAAATCATGGCCTTGACTAGACAGACCTTTGTTGACAAAGTAATGTCTCTGCTTTTTAATAGGCTGTCTAGGTTGGTCATAACTTTCCTTCCAAGGAGTAAGCATCTTTTAATTCCATGGCTGCAGTCACCATCTGAGTGATTTTGGAGCCCAAAGAAACAAAGTCACACACTGTTTCCCTGTCTATTTCCCATGAAGTGATGGGACGGGATGCCATGATCTTAGTTCTCTGAATATTGAGCTTTAAGCCAACTTTTCACTCTCCTCTTTCACTTTCATCAAGAGGTTCTTTAGTTCTTCTTCACTTTCTGCCATAAGTAAGGGACATAAGGTTTAGATTATAAAAATGTAAACAGTATAAAAGATTGAAAGCTGTTTTATTCTGATTATTTTAATGACTTGAGTTTATTAGTAAATGTCAAATTAACATTGTTTTCAAAAACATCTCATTAATGTTTTGCCCATAATTTTCAAGATTATCTGTAGGGATTATATTGTGTCACTGTAAATTTAGGCTTTATTTCTTATTTGATTCTTTTATTATTTAGAAATTTTAAATTTGGAGGTCTGAATAACTGTTCATCTATAACATATTTTCGAAGCAATTACTCCTTTTAAGTTTTTCTGTAATTTGAATTCTCAAATTTTTCAGTGTAAGTATAGAAGTCTTAAATCTTACTGACAGATATTAATGTCATTCACATCCATGTTTGATGATTTCTTTTACCCTCAACAAGAGACCTAAAAAAAGAATATCGCATAACATGAAAGCAGAAGTATTCTGTTTAGTCATATTTTTAGCATTTAATTAAAATGAAAAGTCTATTTGTATGATTCAGTGGCAGAATTAAACTGATTAAGTATTGTCTTCGCAGCATTGATGGCCTGGTTAAGGTGGGCACACTGAAGAAACGACTTGATAAATTTAATGAAGTAGTAAGTGCATTGAAAGATGGAAAACCAGAGATGAATAAACAGGTCAAGCACCTTGAAATTTCTATTGATGCTTTAATGGCCAAAATTAAGGTATGTAGTTTTAACCCAAATGACTCTTGAATTTTTGAAAACAGTTTAATATTTTTGTTATTATATTGAAATTTTATAGAAAAATGTCCTTTTTTTAAAAAAATACAGTTACATGTGTTGAGTCTCAGTGATAAGTGATACTTATATTATCTGCTCCACTCTGTGTTTGAAATTTTTCATAGCAAAAAAATTAAAAAGAAGACAATTTTTGTGCAATTCATTTGTTGCTAAGTGATACTTATATTATCTTCTCCACTCTGTGTTTGAAATTTTTCATAGCAAAAAAATTAAAAAGAAGACAATTTTTGTGCAATTCATTTATTGCTAGGAAAGATTTTTCCAAAATATTAACTAAAATATTACACTCTGTTGGTAAGATTTGCAGAATCCTTACTGAGAGAAAATTAATGCAAATTATTTTCTTTTGTTTCATGTTTTTCTACTTTTGGAAACTAATTTTTAAATTTTAAAAGTAATGTAATATTATAAAAAACTTGGAGAAAATCACCCCCACATTTTTACCCCTCACACTAACACATTCAACTATATACTGTTACATATTCCTCTCAATTCCATCTCAATCAATATGATGCACATATTTTTGCATCGTTCTTATAAAGTACATTTTATTTCAGATTCCTAACATCATGTTATTGCCTCATCCCTATTATTACATTATCTTCATATAGGCTATATCATAAATTACTTAACTTTTATGAAATAACAGTTTTCTCCCATATTTTATAAGAGAAAAAAAAGAGGCCCTTTTGGTTTTGATTTTTGTTTGATTACTAGTGGGATTGAATATTTATTTTTTGAGGTTGTTTGTTGATTATATTCTGTCTATTCATATCTTTTTCTGTTATATTTTAGGTAGGGCCTCAATGTTTTTCTCATTGACTTTCATAATTCAGTTCAGTTATGTGAGATATAGTATCTTAAGGTGAGGCTTTTAGATATTTTCTACAGATAATGATAAAGCTTGGAGTGAGAACAGAGAAAGAAGTCAAGAGAAAACTGAAAATGCTTTGGATAGCCTTAGCTGATTTTATAGATCTGTCCAGAGCCACCGCTGTTTATGTGGTATTAATCAATTAAAATCAACCCAGCCACATTTAAGAAAATCATCTAACAGTTTTGGGTATAATGATAATTTCTTAAATATTCCTGAGGTATTATTTGATCATTAATATTAAAGAGTAGTAAACTCCAGCAAAATTAATCATTTCTTAAAAAGTAAACTTTAACGTACAGTATTGTTTAAAGTACACTCTCAAGATATTTGATTACTTGATTGATAGGAAGTAGACTCAAATTTTGTTCATAGAGAGAACTTAAATTTTTTAATATTATATAATAGTTAAGCAATAATGGGCCTACTGCTTACCAGCTTTTTCAGTTTTGCTGGGTATGTGCATGTTGGTTTTTTTTTTAATTGTGGTAAAACACATACCATTAAACTTACCACTTTAACCATTTTTTAAATGTACAGTTCAGTGGTGTTTAGTGTGTTCAAATTGTTGTACAACAGAAGAGATAACTTTTTAAGTGCACGTCCATTGTATTGTTTCTTTAAGTCCACGATGATGACAAGGGAACAAATACAGAAAGAATATGATGCTCTAGTTAAAAGCTCAGAGGTCCTTCTCAGCGCATTACAGAAAAAAAAGCAGCAGGAAGAAGAAGCAGAAAGGCTGAGGCGCATTCAAGAAGAAATGGAAAAAGAAAGAAAAAGACGTGAAGAAGATGAACAACGTCGAAGAAAGGAGGAGGAGGAAAGAAGGATGTAAGGCATTTATGTTGTTGTCTTGGATTAGTGAATGCTGAAGTGTTGATGGTGGTTAATGAATATTCTTATCTGTAAAAGTGATGTTCTTATATTTAAATTATAATTCTAAAAGAAGTTTGAAAATGGAGAAAGTAAGCTTACTTTTCAATAGCATAAAATGATTTTAAGTATAATTTGAATTTTGGTTAAACTCACACCTGAGGATTTCTTAACTTCCTTTTGAAACTATGACTTTCACATTATTTTATGATCTAGGAGGAAGGTACTTCTTCTCTTCAGTTTTAAAACTGGTAACATTTTGGAAGATTGCCACAGTAGGGCAGACAGAAAGAATTTGAGTTGTCTAATTGGAGAGGCAGTGTGATCAAGACCTTACAAGTAGGCTTGGTAACCAAGTTAATCCAGAGATGTTAACAGTTATGGAGTATAATTATATTTCTTTTGTTTCTAAAGAGCTGCTCTCAAAGTTAAATTTTATTTTTCAAAAAATAAGTTTATGTAATAGCCAGGAGGTTAATTTGACTTCCCATTTTGTAACATTTATTTATTAATAGTTAAACTTTCTTCTGAAGAGTTTATTTTCTGTTAAGTTTTTGAATAGTTTTCTAATTTTTCTTTTTTTTTTCTTTTTTTTAGGAAACTTGAGATGGAAGCGAAGAGAAAACAAGAAGAAGAAGAAAGAAAGAAAAGGGAAGATGATGAAAAACGTATTCAGGTCTGTACTCTCTAGGCAGTCAGACTGAATTCTTACTAAACACAATCTACAAAACTATAAAACAGAAGATCTCAATTTACTAGATAAGTTATTATTGATTTATCCTAGAGAGCACAGGCAGTTTCAGAAGTGGTTATGGGAAGGGACTTTGGAGCTAGGGAAGTGAGTTCAAATCCAGCCTCTCACTGACAGAAATTGTGATTTTGCAGGAGTTACAGTGAGTGACTGTGGGCCACAGTTTTCTTTCTGGAATGGATATAAATAATAATTGTGAGCATTAAATGAAGTAATACCTATTAAAGCATTTAGAACAGTGCCTTGTTTAGTAAGTATTAATTTGTTATTATTCAGAGGGGGAAAGTCAGATCAGCATTCAGTCACAACAAAATTATCTAATATTTTAAAATGTTATTTTATAACGTTGTAGACGCTAATATTAATAGGTTAGGATTAAGATATTCTGCCTACCTCCACCATCTTTTTTTTTTTTAAATCCATGTCTGAGAATAATTAATCCTATTTTGAGTGTATGTCTGTCTTGGCTTTCTGATTTATCCTGAGCACAACCAAGACTTTAAATTCCTGAAATCTGCAGTGTAGGTGTTGGTATTCAGGTCACACCTAGGCTACTAATGTGATGTTTGGGAGAAACTCATATTCTAGTGATAGAACGGCAGACTCTCGGTTTGGGGCATGAGGATACGTTAATTATAATATAGAAGTGGACAAGATGGGAGATTTCCGGTTAAAGAGTATGTATTTCTTAGTTTAAAAAAAAATGAAAAGAAAAACGTGTATGGAGTAAGTGTGCACAGTGAGGGGGATGAGCGGGTAAAAAGGCAGAGAGGCCCGGAGTCATGGCCTTCTGTGCCGGCAGGCAGAGGTGGAGGCGCAGCTGGCCCGGCAGCGGGAGGAGGAGTCCCAGCAGCAGGCGGTCCTGGAGCAGGAGCGCCGGGACCGAGAGCTGGCGCTGCGCATCGCCCGGAGCGAGGCGGAGCTCATCAGCGAGGAGGCGCAGGCCGACCCGGCGGTGCTGCGCAGGTACCGCCTGCGGGCCGGGGGTGGGGCACACAGATGGGCGGGGCGGGGCACTCGGGTGGGCGGGGCGATGCCAGCCTGGGGAAGGGCGCTTCTGCTTTACTCACTCACCTGCCGCCGCCTTGCTTCTCCTTCCACGGAAAGGGGAGAAGGGGGAAAGTCATGTTGCCTAGGTCCTGGTATATTTGCCACTTAAAAATTATTTCTATTTACTTTTACACTTAAGTGAATGAAACTGTTGATTTCATCAAGCTGTGCTGAAAATTAAAACTGCTATTTTAGTTCATAAGTACTTAAAGGAAGCATCTTGGTTTACTCTGAAACTATCAAAGAATGTATAAACGGTAGACAGTTTTTAAATATCTGCCACGAAATACTGACATAAAAATGGTGAATATGTTATAGCCCAGTTTAATATATTTGAGGCTGGAATGTATTGCAAGTTTTTCAAATGTATCGTATACCCTAACGCCTGAGAAATTTTACACATACACATACCTTTCCCCACTGTGATTTAGAATAAATAAGATTTACCTTTCCAAGAAGGCAGCTTAATCGCATGGAAATAACTTTGCTCCTCAGGTCTGAATTATCTCTAAATAGTATGGAGTGTGGAGGTGTCAGGTCAGTTTATTTCTCTTCCTTGGTTCTTGTCTCCTCACAACAAAAATTTGGAGCAATGGACCAAAAGTAAAACAGACAAGTTACAGCTCATTTCAGCTCAAGCAGACAGATCTTTTATTAGTTGGACACTCCCAAAGGAGTCCTCCTCATCCTTCCTATCCACCCCTCTTGGCTTCCCCGTTTTATTCTTCCGGTCTCCTTTTTGTTATGCCCGGTTCAAAGTAGGGCTTGTACCCACCATGAATCAATGAAAGGGAATGCAAATAGGTATACCCTCAAGGCTGATTGACAATTTCAAGTTATATAACAACAGACTGTTGTTTATGTCTTCCCATAATTCAGTCTGTTATAATTAGATTGGACATAGAATATTCATCAGCCCTTCCTGGGCTCCTCATGGCCAAAGGTTACTTGGAGAAGCCTCTGTGGTTCTTTTGTATCCACTGTGTTAGCAGAGTGCATGTGCAGGAGTTGCAGAGTCTCTGTGGTTATCTTGTAGCATCTGTGAGCTCTCCTAGCTGTGTCTGGGATGGAGTTTAGAAATGAGATTGTATCCTTTTCATCCAGGCTTCCCCTTTGCAGCTCATGTCTAACTTCCTACTGAACAGAAGAATATGAAGTTCTTGCTGAAAGTTGCAGGAAGGTTTAACTATTAACAGATTCATTTTTAAAAATATAGAATGTACAAACATTAGTTATTAATATTTATTTGTAAAAACAAAACTTGTTTGTGGAATTCCTTTATGCATAAGTACCTATGTGGTATATATATTGGGGGCCTGTGTGTAACCATACTTTTCAGAATGTCCGAGTGCTGTTTGTGACAAAATAATCAAAACACGACCACTAGATGTTGCTATTTCCTTATGAAAGGTAGAAAATTTGGTCCGCATTGGAACGTGGCAGTTAGATTTTATTTAGCTGAAAACAAAGACAGGTAAGGAAAAGGGTATGTTAAGTTGCCTTCACACATTTTGTAGTGAGTGATTATATTGGGGAGTTCTGGAGCTTGAATTGTATATGAAAGTTATATTTAAATAAACTGAATAGGCCTATGTGTTATATTAATTGTTGAGCTCATTGGTTTGGAGTCACTCTTTGGGCTCTTGGGCTTCCTTGGTGGCTCAGAGGTTAAAGCGTCTGCCTGCAATGCAGGACACCTGGGTTTGATCCCTGGGTTGGGAAGATCCCCTGGAGAAGGAAATGGTAACCCACTCCAGTATTCTTGCCTGGAGAATCCCATGGACAGAGGAGCCTGGTGGGCTACAGTCCATGGTGTCACAAAGAGTCGGACATGACTGAGCGACTTCACTTCACTTTACTTCACTTTGGGCTCTTAATTACTAGCATTCTTACTGTAGTTAAAGTGCTTTTGCGTGATACTGGCTTTTTAACTGCAGGTTCAGCCAGCTGCTACTCAGTTCCTTCCACCTGCCTCTTGGTGATGTGTCTGAAGCCTTTGTGGATAACCGGCTAGTGGGCTAGGCCGGGCTCCCAGTGAGCCAAGGCTGGCCATGGTGTGTGTGAGGAAGTTCCACACTTGGCAGAGCTGACATTGTTAAGGCTGAAGCTCTTTAGTGAAAAACTCGTTAATGGAGCCCTTGTTGGTGTTCATGGGTTAACTCTGTGTTTAAGCATTTGAATATTTAGCTCTATCCAGTGTCATTCCGTGTACTATAAATAAGATACTTGCTCATATGTGGACTCCTTCCCATCCTCAGAAAGATGCAGTTCATCCAGTGTGAGTCGTCTCGGAGAGAGTGGACCATTTAGGAACTTTAGCATAAGGGATGAGCTACCTATGATTTAAATTAAACAGCATTAGCTGGGTGATGGGATCACTGCGAAGTAATTAGGAGATACACAAGTGTTATGACTTGAAGGGCAGAAGAGTTTTAGTTCTCCTGTGGGATAGCTGTAGGGATGATGTCTCCTCCTTGGACTGTTCCTTCAGGTCCTATCTGCCAGATGTCTTCCAGGAAGCTTTTCCTGACCCTCAGTTCCCTGTGAACCCCTTCACTTCTGAACTGCCTGGTTATTTTATACGCTCTACTGCAAGCATTAACACTGCATTGTGGATGATGTTCTCTATATATTTTCCCATGTTTGATTATTTTATCTCACTCCATGGGCTACAACTGTTTCTGAGTGTTTATTAGTTAGCACTGAACTCTTTCTAACGTGTTTATGAGTAAGAACCTAAGTAACTTTGTTCTCAATATATGGCATGACAATGTTCTTGGGGTCTGTGATATATTTAAAAATATATATGTAGATAGATTCTGCTGCAGTAAACAATTTCAAGTTACTTTTCCAGCTTGGATTTCCATCCAGTAACTTCTAAGTAAGAATTGTTTCCTACGTATATAATGTATTTCACATTATGATTTCACTTAATAACACCAATGATCCTTGATGCAAAGTAATGATTTCACATTATCTAATATTATCATTTCTAGATTCTACTAAAACCAAACACAAACCCCACATGAGTAATTTTTTAAAATCTAGACATAATATATTCACTCTAATTTTCACGGAATGCCTTTAGTTTATTCTTTTCTAATCATTTGTAATGAAGATTTAAAAACATTAAAATTCTAAGTGTTTTCATACATAGGTTAAATAGAGATAATGGAGTTTTGAAAATCAATTTTCACAGTCACTGAAACACAAATTTGGCACAATCCAGATTTTCACAGTTCAGAATTGGTTATGGTATTGACTAAAATATATGTATTCTTTTCACAGAATTAATGGAACAAGACGCACAATGACACCGTATGTCATTTCCCTTTTAAAGTTGACTTAATCATGTAACCTTGTTTTTCTCTTTTTTAATAGGTTGTGGATACTTTTTAGGAGAAATATTTTCCTCATTGAAGTAAATTTTACGTCATTATTACTATCATCATCATTATTATTTTGCCCAGGAAAAATGTTTAATGCTCCTTTTTGGTGTTCAGTCACAGTAGATTATGATTTGGTTTCTTTCTTTGTGTTTGCTAACTTTGTTTAAACGTTAACACCCATTTTATGTGTTTTTAATTGCCCTTACTGATGTCTTTATAGAAGTAGATATAGAGATATAAAGAAGAATAAACAAAATATTTCAAGTATTTGAGTCATGGCAGATAGCTGTCTTTTAGTATGTATAATAGTTTATTCTGCTAACACCTAAAACAGCTCATAATTTGAAGTTCTATATATGTAATGCTAATTGTGGTGCTTGTGTATCTTTTTGTTGTGAAAATCTCCCCACAGAGAGAATCTAAGTAACATTTTGGGATATACATATACATTATATGCATAAAATATACTTCTTACATATATTTTTATATATGTGCTATATATATAAAATTTGGAAGTTTGTTTAACAGCTTTTATTTCTCCAGCTGTACCCTTTATAGTGAAGGTTCTTAACTCTATCAGACCCCAGTACCAATAACAAATGTTTCATAAATGATGCAACCTACTTTAATAGTTTTCTCTAAATAATACACATAGAGAAATAAAAAGACAGTAGTCTATAATTATATTATTATATTTTCTTTATTTATATTATATTTTCTTTATTTTAATATGAAAGTGCTGACTCTCAACTATAGGAAAACAATAATAGTAGGTACTCAGATGTTTCACATACACATAAAATCACCATGAATGCAACAGCTACCAATGTAAATTGATGTAGGAAATTTGTTTCAGTCAGTTAAATGTCATGAGATCTTCTCCTTTCTGATCAGGGCCCAGCTCTGAGCCCTGAAGCAAACATGGCCATTTTCTTTTTTCCTGATTTTTGTTGATTTATAAGATTTTTGAGGTTACTAGAGTCTGATGAATAGAATGAATGAGAGAATGATTGATTATGAAGGAAGAGAGCAAAACAGGAAAATAAAATACTAATGAAGCTGATGAGCATGATTACATGAATATTCCATTACACAGAATTAAGCAGATTTTGAGAAAAGTTACAGTCTTACGGTTAATAAAAAAAGTAAGTTTTTGCCTTTGGGAAATGTTTATCCTTGGAAGGTCAGAACACTTGTGATCTTTAATTTAACAAGTGCTTGATGCATTTGAATTTTTTTAGGCATCCTTTGATTTAGAATTTTAGAGTTTTGAGCACATCAGACTCTTATTTAAACTCTGACACCATAAAATAGATCATTTGGTGTACCACCATTATGCCCTAATTAATATTTACCAAGCAACCCCAGTGCAAAAATCCTTGTACAGATTCTGAATTCCACCAAGTTCCCTGTATGCTTTTAGAACATGCTGATTATATTCTATACATAAAAATATCACAGAAGCATGGCTCTCATGAGACTTTATCCAAAAGTTTCTACTGCAAAAATGAAGTTCAAATAACTTTAACTGGATCCCTGTATGCTTTTAGAACATGCTGATTATATTCTATACATAAAAATATCACAGAAGCATGGCTCTCATGAGACTTTATCCAAAAGTTTCTACTGCAAAAATGAAGTTCAAATAACTTTAACTGGATTTAAACAAAAATTTTGTTGTATTTTATGGCTATATATCAGAAAGTGTATTACCAACTTTTGCAAAGTAAAATAATAGTATATAATATTATTGAAATTTTCATTATACTTTCATATAGTTGTCTTATGTAACTTGTATTATTATTTTTCTTATAGGGAGCAAATGGCGAAAGAGATGTCAGAAATTTTGAGTAGGTTAGTGCAGTGTAATTTGGGGAAATAAGTGTCACATCAAAATCATATTTGCATCACTTGGACCAGAACCTGTTATATAGAATAGCCTGTTCTTTCCATGTAAATTTTCTGTGCAAGAAATGTCATTCTGTCCTTTTGCCACACTAACATAGAAAAAGGTTAAAAAAAAAACAAACCCAGAGTTCCTGTAAATTGGCGTTTTTCAGTGGGGGGGATACAACTGGTGTTCGGATGGGACTGTCTCTTGTCGGTCCTGTCGCACTTACCAGGGACCCCTCCAGTTCAGGCTCAGTCGAGGAACCCTTCCTGTCCTTGTGACAGAAGGGACACTTTGAAAGACCCCCTGAGGGTGGTGCTGACCCCTGACTGAGACCCACTGTGCCTGGGGAAGGGAAGAGAAGTGAGGAAGCATGTGGCCCCCAGGCCCCTGCCACCATAGCACAGGGATGGAAAACCAGGGTGTAAAAGCTGAGCCACCAAGGAATAGAACTTCCCAGCAGGATCTGGTCCATTATCACCTGGATATGAATCAATAACCTTTTAACTTTCAATTCTGAACTTACAGAGCTAATTGAAAGTGTTCAAATTAATGTTTTTTTTAAAAATCAAAGTCAATTTTGCCACTGCCTTACCCTGTTGTTCACATGATTGTCTTTATAACAAGTCTAAATAATCAGTCGTTGAAAGGGAACCGTCACTTTACTATCTTAGTACTTCCAAAGATGGGGGGGAGCATTTAAGTGAATTTGATTTATGTACTTCTTAGGATGCTGAATATGCTTTTTAGCAGGTGTATTTTTCTTTGAGGTAATATAAATTAAAAGTTGGTAACAGTAAAACCATATTTTAAGCAGTAATAATTTGAATTCAGTGTGATTTTTAGAAGAATCAAAATACATCTTATGTATATCAACATCTCATATATATTTTGACAGTCTATAAAGCTGTATATTGTGTAGAATCACTTTCTCTTTCGAAAGGAAAGAAAACAGCAGCAAAAACCCATAATTTGAGGTGCCTTTCTAGAAAAGACTGGTAGAAGAGCTAGGAAGAAAAGAGAATTTTTGGGTTAAGCTTATTGAATGGTGGTTTCAGGATGCAGAAAAGAAAAAACGGATATTTGAATAATGTTGAAAGCATAATTTATTGTTAAGGGTAATAGAGAGAGCTTGCTGGCACACAGCTGGCTCTTTTTGAGCAAAGCATTTAAGAAGAAAAAGCTCCGTAAAGAATGGCCAGCTACACAGCTTATGAAGAAATTCTACAGTGAACTTGAAACAGATTGTAACCATGAAAATGCAGGAAGGACTGAACGGGCACACATTATTCTTTAACTTGGCTTATAAATGACTAAAAATCATCATGTCTAACAATTTTTAAGTATGTGGGGTGAAGTATGCTACTTTTTATTCTCTAAAAAAGTATAACTACCCCTTTTGAAGAGTCAAAAGTACCTTGTTTCAATTTTAAGCTTAGTACTGAAGGAGTAATTTTATTTCAGGAAGGACGATTCATATTTTCAAGCATCGTTTTTAAATAACATTAGTCTCATTAAGTGTCGTATGTCTTGGTTGTTTGCCATGATTGCTGTTGTCTTTCAAAATGTAAAATGCTGAGAAAATGAGCTCATTTTGAACATTATACCATGATCATCCCTCAGGAGCATTGCTGTGAAACAGCTTATCCCATTTAATTTTTAAACTATATTATTATTTTACTTTTTATATTGTAAATATATGTATTTTATTTTTTATTTCTTTCTGTTTTCCCACTCAAACGTTCCTACCAGTTGGGGCATGTTACTTGTACCCTTTGGAATCTCTGTTATCTGTCTCATGACCTACAGCCATTTTCCTTTAATTTACTAGTTGTCATACAGTTACTCACTGAATACCAAGGTGTGGTTTTATCTGCTTATAGAACTTTTCAAACTTTTGACCTGAACTCAAAAGTCACAGGAGTTTTCAGGCTCCAGCAGCTCTTTTAGCTTGTGTCTGGAGACTTACGCAAAGGGTGGCAGTTTGGCTGCTCCCCTGGGGACTTGTAAATATCCAGGAGTCCAGGGAGAGTCAGCCAGTAGGAATGACTGGGGCTTGGTCATCTGCAGCTTCCGATAGTCTGCAAGTGACTGGCCCTTAACCCTTCATGTGCTTCTAATGATCTTAAAGTATGTTGAGTTCTCTTTTGATTTTTAAAACAATTTTCAATTAAAGTATAGTAGATTTACAGTATCGTGTAAGTGTATAGCACAGCAATTTTTTAGATTCTTTTCCCTTACTACATGGATGGGCTATCCACTCCAGTATTCCTGGGTTGCCCTGGTGCTTATCTGGTAAAGAATCTGCCTGCATTGTGGGAAACGTGTGTTTGATCCCTGGTTTGGGAAGATCCCCTGGAGAAGGGAACATCTACCCATTCCAGTATTCTGGTCTGGAGAATTCCATGGACTGCATGGTCCCTGGGGTCGCAGAGTCAGACACAACTGAGCGACTTTCACTTCACATAATCACATAATACTGAGCTTAGTTCCTGGGCTATACAGTAGGTCATTGTTGGTTATTAATTCTATACATAATAGTGTGTATGTTAATAACACCTTCTCAGTTTTTCTCTTCCCCACCGCCCTTTCCCCTTTGGCAACCATAAGTTTCTTTTCTGTGTCTGTGATCTTTTCCTGTCTTGAAAATATGTTCATTTGTGTCTTTTTTTTTTCTTTTAGAGTCTATATATAAGAGATATCACTTGATATTTGTCTTTATCTGTCTGACTTACTTAGTATGATGATCTCTAGGTCTGTTCATGTTGCGCAAATGGCATTATTTTATTCATTTTATGGCTGAGTAATATTCCATTGTATATATTAATTTTACCTACATCCTCCTTATCCATTTGTTTGTCGCTGGATATTTGGGTTGCTTCTGTGTCTGGCTGTTGTAAATAATGCTGCTGTGAAGATTGGGGTGCATGTATCTTTTCCAGTTATGATTTTCTCCCAATATATGCCCAGGAGTGGGATTGCAGGATCATACGGTAGTTCTATTTTTAGTTTCTTAAGGAACCTCCATAGTGTTCCCCATAGTGGCTGTACCAATTTACATTCCTACCAACAGCGTAGGAGGGTTCTCTTTTCTGCACATTCTCTCCAGCATTTAGTATTTGTAGACTTTTTGATGATTGCTGTTCTGACTAGTGTAAGGTAATACCTCATTGTAGTTTTGATTTTGAGGAATATATATATCTATATATATATATATATATATATATATATATATATATATATATATAAATGTATTAAGTCTTGTTGATCATATATCCATGAGTTAAAATATTTAAACAGGTGTGGGTAAAATGCTAAAACAGGTATTTAAAATTTTTAAACTTAAAAATATTTAAATCAGAACTTCTGAGTCCATGGTACTAGAATATTGGAATCAGAAGTTCTGATTTAGAGTGTAACACAAAAATGATGCGGTGGAAAATTTTAATTTGCCTGGGCATTCCATAGTACACCATTCTTAATCTTGTCTATTAAAGATAAAAAAATATATATTTTCCAGTAGTTGTTTCCAGTTTGCAAACTTAGGTTCATTTTCTTGCCTGTTTAGTCAACATTTTGTGTTTCCAGTTTCAGTATGTAAAAATGTGTGATAATTACAGAGGCCCTGCTGTGCAAGCCACGAAGGCGGCTGCTGGTGCCAAGAAGCACGACCTCAGTAAGTGGAAGTACGCAGAGCTCCGTGACACCATCAATACTTCTTGTGGTGAGTGTGCGGAGGGGACGGAAGTGGGGCGGCTCCATAGCTGGAAAGTGAATACCTAGATGGGGGTGGGAATTCTTGTCATATAGGTTAGTTGAAGCCATTCTCCTTTTTTTTTTTTGAATTTTTTTTTCCATTTATTTTTATTAGTTGGAGGTTAATTACTTTACAATATTGTAGTGGTTTTTGCCATGCATTGACATGAATCAGCCATGGATTTACATGTGTTCCCCATCCCGATCCCCCCTTCTACCTCCCTCCCCATCCCATCCCTCTGGGTCTTCCCAGTGCACCAGCCCTGAGCACTTGTCTCTTGCATCCAACCTGGGCTGGTGGACTGTTTCACCCTTGATAGTATACTTGTTTCAGTGCTATTCTCTGAACATCCCACCCTCGCCTTCTCCCACAGAGTCCAAAAGTCTGTTCTGTACATCTCTGTGTCTTTTTCTGTTTTGCATATAGGGTTATCATTGCCATCTTTTAAAATTCCATATATATGCGTTAGTATACTGTATTGGTGTTTATCTTTCTGGCTTACTTCACTCTGTATAATGGGCTCCAGTTTCATCTATCTCATTAGAACTGATTCACATGAATTCTTTTTAATGGCTGAGGAATAGTCCATGGTGTATATGTACCATAGCTTCCTTATCCATTCGTCTGCTGATGGGCATCTAGGTTGCTTCCATGTCCTGGCTATTATAAACAGTGCTGCGATGAACATTGGGGTGCACGTGTCTCTTTCAGATCTGGTTTCCTCGGTGTGTTTGCCCAGGAGTGGGATTGCTGGGTCATGTGGCAGTTCTATTTCCAGTTTTTTAAGGAATCTCCACACTGTTCTCCATCGTGGCTGTACTAGTTTGGATTCCCACCAACAGTGTAAGAGGGTTCCCTTTTCTCCACACCGTCTCCAGCATTTATTGCTTATAGACTTTTGGATAGCAGCCATCCTGACTGGTGTGTAATGGTACCTCATTGAGGTTTTGATTTGCATTTCTCTGATAATGAGTGATGTTGAGCATCTTTTCATTTGTTTGTTAGCCATCTGTATGTCCTCTTTGGAGAAATGTCTGTTTAGATCTTTGGCCCATTTTTTGATTGGGTCATTTATTTTTTTGGAGTTGAGCTGGAGGAGTTGCTTGTATATTTTTGACATTAATTCTTTGTCTGTTGCTTCATTTGCTATTATTTTCTCCCAATCTGAGGGCTGTCTTTTCACCTTGCTTATAGTTTCCTTTGTTGTGCAAAAGCTTTTAAGTTTCATTAGGTCCCATTTGTTTATTTTTACTTTTATTTCCAATATTCTGGGAGGTGGGTCATAGAGGATCCTGCTGTGATTTATGTCGGAGAGTGTTTTGCCTATGTTCTCCTCTAGGAATTTTATAGTTTCTGGTCTTAGATTTAGATCTTTAATCCGTTTTGAGTTTATTTTTGTGTATGGTGTTAGAAAGTGTTCTAGTTTCATTCTTTTACAAGTGGTTGACCAGTTTTCCCGGCACCACTTGTTAAAGAGGTTGTCTTCTCTCCATTGTATATTCTTGCCTCCTTTGTCAAAGATAAGGTGTCCGTAGGTACGTGGATTTATCTCTGGGCTTTCTATTTTGTTCCATTGATCTGTATTTTTGTCTTTGTGCCAGTACCATACTGTCTTGATGACTGTGAAGCCATTCTCTTTTTACTCACACCTTGCAATGAAGGACCTAGTTTCTTCACAGAGCTAAAAGACAGATATCAAGTTAAACTGATTTTACAGGCCAGGGAGGAAGAGCATAGAGAAGTTACAGTTGGGCCTGTATCAATGACTGACTCTTCTCACATGTGCTTCCTGGTGGCTCAGGCAGTAAAGAATCCGCCTGCAGTGGGGGAGACCTGGGTTCGATCCCTGGGTTGGGAAGATCCCCTGGAGGAGGGCATGGCAACCCACTCCAGTCTTCTTGCCTGGAGAATCCCCATGGACAGAGGAGCCTGGCGGGCTACAGTCCATGGGGTCACAGAGAGCTGGACACGACTGAGCGACTAAGCACAGCACAGAGCACTCCTGCCATTATTCGTAGTAGCTAAATGCCTGTGTATCAGACCCTTCTGGTCCATGAGCACAGTCGCTTCAGTTGTGGCCGACTCTTTGCGACTCCGTGGACGGTACCCCTCAGGCTCCTCTGTCCACGGGGTTACCCCAGCAAGGATTTTGGCCCAAGAATGCAGAGTGAAAAATGGCAGTGGAGATTTTCCTTTTTAAAGCTGTTTTTCTTCCACAGAACAGAGTAAAATACTGTATCCAGGGGATCCCACACAGTTGTGTTCACGTGTCAATCATAGCATTTGAATTTGGGACACTGTGACTAGTACCTCAGATGTCATAATTGTGCAGGATGCCTCACTGCTGTTCTTTCGCTTGTAAGAGTTCATCTGCATAGTTACATATGTCAAACAGGTGGTGCTTGTAAATCTAGCTTATATTTGAGGACAGTGACTTTTTATTCTGTTATTCTGATCTATGACCTTGGACAAGTGACTTAACCTCTCTGATTCCAGTTCCCCATCTATAAAAGACCTATTTGGTCCAGAGTTCTTGTGTGGAGTAAAAATATAAGATAGTAGTTATGCATAAGAAAATGCTCTGTAAGTATTAAAAAATAGTATTACCATGAAAGTACTCATCTTTGTCAATAATTGGTTTACTTTTGATTTTGTACTGTTAATTTAAAAATGAAACCTTCATTTAGAAATATGTATGTTTATGCCAAAGAATAATTATGCTAGAGAACTAAATTAGGATGTTCATTGCTTTTTTTTTTAAATCTTTCTATGTAATTGATAGATATTGAGCTCCTGGCAGCTTGCAGAGAAGAATTTCATAGGCGACTAAAAGTGTATCATGCTTGGAAATCCAAGAACAAGAAGAGAAATACTGAAACAGAACAGCGTGCTCCAAAGTCTGTTACTGATTATGGTAAAAACACATCTGTACTTCTGAATGTTCCAAAGTATATGTATATAATGACATGTAACTATGCATAAGGCATTTGGGTAAAACTGGCCAAGTTTCCTCTTACTTTAGAACTGTGGGTCCGCTGAACCTAACACAACCATGATGGCTTATCTTTCAGAGTATTATTTGTGTTAGATACATCTTTAAAGTCATATTTGTTTACAAGTATTGAATTTACTTATTAAGATAAATTCTAGGGGTAAGAATTGTCCCTACTGAGGAAGTTGTGTGATAATGCTATAAATATGTATTCTTTCCACATATACATATACAGACATATGTAAAGATTAAGTGTGGAAATATAAAGATTACTATAAAAAAGAATATTTATTGCAAATAACACTTTGTAATACTGTGAAAATATAAGAGTGAGAAATAGTACCTTGGTTTAGAAGAATTTTCTCTCAGCCAGAATTTGATTTTTTGACTGAGATCTTAAAAATTAATTTTGCTACTTTGCTGTTCAAAAGGCAAAGCTGTGTACATGAAATTGGGAAATAAAGCAGAAGACTCATAACCTAGTAAAAGCACATACTAGCTTTAACATTAAGTAAGAATAACTGTGAGTTGTAATTTCAGTCTTAAAAACAATAGTTAGAATTTCATTCATTCAACTTGCTACAGGAGCAGTTTATTAGGTTAATTCCGGTTAATGTCAAGGTGACAGCATATTTAATATCTTTTTTTTAAAAAAGGTATGTTCCCAACTCTTGATAGTATAATTTAGCCATGCATGACCCAAGCTGATTTAGGAAATGAGCTCACGGTTATATTTTGTCTCCTTACTACCTTCCTAGCATATAAAACAGTGTTTGATGAAAGGCAATTAGATGGTAAAATTTAAGTGTTTCTAAGCTGTTGCAAAGATTAGATTGAGGAAGGGAAGTGTTATTAGTGCTAGTGACTGCTCATGAGTGTCGTCAATCAGAATGTAAGACTCTTGAAAGAGCAGTAAGCTTGCCTTGTAACTAAGAGATGGCAGGTGGAAAGCCCTGTAAACATTAATCTTCTGTAACTACCACTGTCTTCTCTGGTTTAAAACTTTGTCTCTGGGAATTGAACATGACACAATGATTCCATTCTCTGTTCACTGCCTGTACCAAGTTCCTACCACTGTTCCTCTGCTTTGTAAAAGTGACGAAGGAGTATTCTTTTTAGCGATATAATCTTTAGCTGTAATGTTCTAATCGTGACCTTCAACTGACTGACTTTCATTATGTTCTATTTCAAAATTTATACATCTGAATGACTGCACTTCTTTAAAGAAATAAATGTTACATATTTGACACCCACATTTTTAATGAATATATAAGTATTTATTGTATTATTGTATCAAACCAAACTTTGGCACCTTACTCAGCCAACTTTGCCCCAAAAGGAGCAAGTAAAATGTGGCTTACCTAACTGGTTCCCATACTGTTTCCATTCATAATGTACCACTGGGAAGAACAACAGAGTAGGTTAAGAAAATTTCCCAAGGGTCCCATCCAGGGATGAGAACAAAACTAGGACTTCTGTATGAACACACTCCACATATATGTAGTCTTCAGAGAATTTTAATTGAACATGGTGCATTTTCAGGGTAAAATGTAACTTCTTCTCTGAGAAGTACATTTTTATTTTTCTCTCACGGAAAATTCATTCTGACACAGGAGTACAGTTAAAAGGAAAAGTGACGAGCACCGAGTTGATTAACAGCTCATTTGAGAAAACTCTGTTCTCCAGGAGGTTTCCCGATGGCTCAGCTGCTTGACTTGCAAAAGGAATGGCTTTGCAGTTTAATATTTAGAAGGACTGGACTTCCGTAATTTGAGAAAGCAAAATGATGACAACTTAGCGATTAGCAAAAATATAACCTTGGTGTTACTGCCTTGAAGACATTGACAAATCAAGATTAGTTCTTAAGAGTTAAGAACTGGGAGGCTCAGGATCCTTTTCCTTTTGCTGTAGTAGGGGGGTATGCCCCTCATCACATTTACCCTATAAAGAGGCTTTCAGAAATAATTTTGGGGGGCAGTAGCAAATTAACCAGTAAAGATTTATATTTGCTTGCTTGAAACGGTGACTTTGGAGAGTAGTTTTATTTCATCGTTCCTAACTAAAAATGTCAGCTTAAGGTTTAAGACAGTGTGAAGAGATTAAAACCTGCTGAGTATATGTAAGTGTGGTAATGCTTTTTCTCTATATAAAAAGCATTTTTAGTGAATTTATGAGTTATTCCCTTTTTTCTCCCCTATAAAAATTCTAGTAAGGCTTTAATGGAACTCTCATGTTGATTATTAAGTTGCTGTTTTGGATTTTTGTTTGGATATTACTGTGTTTAAAAATTAAACTTTGGTCCTCTTTGTATGTCTGTCAATCAGGATGTCCCCCAAACATAATCAAAATAGATTTTAAAAAGTTGGAAAGCAGCATCTACTTGTAGGTTATTACAGGAGTACTTGGCTATGGATAGGGTATTTATCTGTTAGTCACCACCTCCATTGATGGGAAGTCTTTATGAATTAGAAGAATGCTTATTTAACATTTTTGGCATTTTCATCTTTTCTTCAACATAAAATATTTGTTCACAGATTTTGCACCATTTTTGAACAATTCACGTAAGTCAATGGGTGGTAAATCATGAGCTAACTGGAAGATGGGTTAAAAATACTTTATAAGTACTAACTTCTTCTAAACATTGTTTTGCTACAATTTTAAGGTGAATTGTAGTATATTAATTTTGGTTTATTTGTACTAAGATATTTAATTTGAGATAGTACTTTCATTTGGATCATTCCAAAATATATTTGCAGAAAAAATTTAATTAATCTGTTATTTTATCAAAGTGCTCCATTGCTCAGTCATGTTTGACTCTTTGCAACCCCATGGACTGTAGCCAGGCTTCTCTGTCCATGGAATTTTCCAGGCAAGAATACTGGAGCAGCTCGCCATTTCCTACTCCAGGGGATCTTCCCAACCCAGGGATTGAGCCTGCATCTCTGGAGTCTCCTATGTTAGCAGGTGGATTCTTTACCCGTGCGCCACCTGGGAAGTCCCTGTCTTATCAAATTGCTTGCTTTTTAAAAAACCTAGCATTTTAAGCTGAGTATATGCAATTCCTATTGTAGCAAAACTCTTATCTTAATAAGCAGCTAGTCTTTTAGAATGAAGACTAACTTTAGGTGCTGGTTTCAAATGCTGTAATAGTATAAGCATTTCTGTCCGAAGAGGTTGGAGTTTCATGTGATAATGTACACAGCTTAATAGAATACCTCTTAATAGGAAGAGAAGATTATTCTGTTACTTCTATAGCTTCCTATGATACACGTTTTTTGATAATGTAAAAATCTTTGAGTCATCTTAGTGTACAGTAAATTTCTTCTAAAATCAGTTCAACAGTAATGATTTGAAAATAATGATACTTATTTGCCAAATGGGTGCACAAATTATTTTTTACTGCTTCTAGTAAGTTACAAACTTACAGATTTGAAACTTTTTCATACACTTTAGAAGAACAATTGAATGTGAAAGAAATAGTTGTTTAGAAGATTAGTTTTCAAGCTTTCCACATCTGTATCTTTATACTTTTCCAGATGACTGTTCATTTCCAGGCTTCCCAAATACAGTTTCCTTTCTCACATTAGTAGAAAAAGCCATCCAAGACTTTCTGTTGGGTTCCTTAATTTTATCCAACAGGAGATTATTATTTTGAAAGAAAGTAGGTTATACTAATGGGCAGCCATTGCTATCTAGTATATTTCTATCAGTAGGACCTTGAGTTCTAGTTCACTGCTTAAGATGGAAGGAAGGGTTTTTTCCTTTTAATTCTTTTTATAAAATGTCTTAGTTTTGAGTTAGTGCATATCCTGCAGAGTAGGTAGTTTTTAAAACTCAAAGTGGAAACACTGAACTGTAAGTTGTTTTGAGGGAATAGAAATGAGAGGATAAATAAGCTCATCTCTGGTAACATGCTGAAGGCGATATAGCTTTTTTGTCACTAACAAAGCTGGGACTCTGTTTTCATAGGCATATACAACTCTGCTAACTGCTTTTTGCTTTCTGTGTGCACAGAAATAAATGCAACTGCCCTATAGCTTTTGCTATTGGTGCAAGAGGTGGAGTAAGAGTGATTTCACCCTTTCCGTACTCGGAAAGTCTCACAGAAGCCGCGTGCCTGTCCTTGACTTAGACATACAAGTTTTCATTGACATACTTAGTTCCAGTGAGATTCTTAACTGAGCTGCAGTAAATGGTTGGTCTACCTTTAGAGTGTATTAAACAGGTTTACCGTAATTATGCTCCTGAATATGTAAAGTCATTGCCCCAGAGAACTGTGTATTTTCAGAAAAAAAAAAAAAAAATGAAAACACCAGCCGTAATGAAAATTGAGCAAGGGAAAAGAGGTTACTGTGAGCTGAATACTCAGTATTAACAGAAAAGCAAGGATTTTTCTTTTCTGTTGGCAAAGAGAACCAAACATACCCTTCCACTTACTGCAATGGATTTTTTTCTAAGAGAAGTCTGATTTCAGAGTAAGTAAATCTGAGTGAAAGTTCATGCTTACTGTTACAGTTTTGTTGTCATGAAGTTGTTTAAATCTTATTCATAAAATATCTGTTATCTTGGCCATTTTAAATCCCCAAATCAGTTGGCAAAGGAGAAAACTTTTATGTCTTTGACTTCTTTGAGGAAATTCTGGTTAAATTGACAAATATCTAGAATCCCTTAATTTGTAAAATTGCTGTTTGTTTCATAATAGTCCCATGAAAATCATTCTGCAGCATTCATTTGAACTCCTTGGAGGAAAACTATAAGTCTAGTAAACAGAACTAGTTTGCTTTCCTGCCGTGTGAGTTCATGGCATGAGTTCATTTTAGGGATGCAAGCATCTGTGGGAATGGCTGGGGGCTCTTGTTGTTATTGCTGCTGCTGATGGTGCTGGTGGGGGGTGTGTGGGTGGGGAGAGAAAATTCTAAAAAAATCACGCTTTGAACTGTATTCATTTGTAGAGAATTCATATTTACATTTTGTTTTAAATTCACTATTAGGACCCCCTGTCTCATCTTTTTTTAAAAAAATTGGTGGTTCGTTCTAGGATTAAAGACTGTTTTCCTTATCCCTTGGGTGACTGTCCTTGTTCCCTGTGATAGCTCAGCAGAACCCGGCAGCCCAGCTCCCTGCCAGGCAGCAGGAGATCGAGATGAACCGACAGCAGCGTTTCTTCCGCATCCCATTCATCCGCCCCGCGGACCAGTACAAAGACCCGCAGAATAAGAAGAAAGGCTGGTGGTATGCCCATTTTGATGGACCATGGATTGCCCGGCAGATGGAGCTTCATCCTGACAAGCCACCCATCCTCCTCGTGGCTGGTGTGTACGATTCCCATGAACAAAAATTTCTAAAGCAGAAAAGTAGTGTATACCCTCTGAATGAAATGGGGTAATGTAATAATGCATTAAAGTTCAGGGTTGAGGCATGGAGTTTTGCAGTTAAATCACATCAGTTGAGGATAACTTATTTACAGCGTGGAATCAATCACTTCGATTGTGTCCTCCTGGAACACACAGACACTTGTCTGTGTCCTTTCATGTCTAATTATATAGGTTACCTTGTAATGGTTTAAGGAAATGTAGCATTTCTCTTAACCCTGGTAACTTGTTGGATAAACTGCATCCTTAGTATATTTTGAAATGCTGTACTTGGTGGAGGACACATTTGTCACTGGTGAATTTATGAAGCAAATTTCAACCTTCAAGGAAGGAAATAAAGTTTTAAAAGTTCTCAAATCTATGACAACTGGTAGACATTTCAGGAATGAAGTTTACCGTAAACAGATCTGAGAGGAGGTGTGGTTAATTCTCTGATGTCTCTATCCACGCAGGGAAGGACGACATGGAGATGTGTGAGCTGAATCTTGAAGAGACAGGCCTGACTCGAAAGCGCGGTGCTGAGATTCTGCCAAGACAGTTCGAAGAAATCTGGGAGCGCTGCGGAGGCATCCAGTATCTCCAGAGTGCAATCGAGAGCAGGCTGGCCAGACCCACGTATGCCACGGCCATGCTGCAGAATCTGTTAAAGTAGAAGGTGCGCTAACCTTGCAGCTGGGAGCCCTGGCCTTGGCACTAGGTAGGGAGTGCGCCCCAGAGATTGACCCCTCCCGCAATCAAGTTAGGATTACTTACACAAAGTGAACAGGTTTTACTAATCATGGCTTTTTGTTAATTTAAGGTTTATCATGGTAGTGACTTTGGGACCGAAAAATTGTTTTCCTGTATCCAGCTGTAACTGTTCGACCTCTCATCATCATCATTGTGATACTTGTTAGACTTGGACAGACTCTGACATCTCTCTCTCTTTCCAACAGACTACCTTAAATCCATTTTAATTGTTTGCTAGGAAAAGAAGTTTTTTTTAAAAAAAATGCAGAATTCTTGTTTTTTAAGAAGGCCACAGTACCATAAAACTGGAATAAAGAAAACTTTACAGTCAAGGCACTTAGAGTGATCAAGGCACTGGTGTTTTTTATCTGAAAGCTGTATCCTTCCTTCACTAACTTTTTCAGAAATTCATGGAAGTTTCCATCACAGTTGGAAATTTGTATTTTTCCCCCTATTTTGCAATGTCTTAGTTTGAGTAAAGCAATTTACCTGAAGTTCTAGAATTCTGGAGAGAGCCTTGATATGTCTGATAAAATCTTTGATAGAGAAGGTACATAGTATCCTCCACGGATTTGTTTTGCTTATCTATCACTTTGTGTTGCTATAAGAATATGTTCTTACATTCCATGAACAAATAAAGGAAATTTGGATCATTTAAATGCTTGAAAGTTTTGAGATAACTTTTGTTTCATTTAGGAAAAAAAATGAGTTTTAGGTGGCAGTTTGGCTTAACTGAATTCAGATATTCTTTCAGTTTCATCTCAGTTGCAATTTTGTATCAGAATCTTGTCCAAGTTGTTTCATGTGATTTTTAATGTAGTGTTCTGCTTCAAGACACTCCTGTTTTTTAAAAAAATTCCTTTTGTCTTTTTTGGCCTTTGAGATTCTGGTAATTGTAGAGCTCTTTTATAAGCTTTGTAATTCAAAAACCCTCTACTTAGAAATTGCTTGTTTCATGTAACTGATAATTTTAAAAAATGCTTTTGTTTGTGTGCTGTTTAGTTTTGATCAAATGTCAGCAGTTTCAAGCCTACTATTTCTAACTTTCATATTAGGAATTTGGAAACAGAAATACATCAAGGAGTTATGTTGACATAATCCTAAGGAGTCTTGTTTGTATTTTAGAATAAAATTAGAAAATAAAATTATTCTCTGTACCTTTTTTCCCTGATGTTCAAAGACTCTAAACCTTTGAAATGAATTTCCAGTAATTTTTTTTCTCTCCTCGAAAGAGCCACCTCAGTTAGGAAAGTATTTCTCAGCTGACTAGATTAGAGCTTGTGAGCCAGACACTGTTTTCGGAATTGCTTCTCTCGTAATATGTCCTGGTGTAGAGATGTTTATTTATTATGACACTGTGCAAATAATGGTCTTCTGCTAAAGAAATTAAACGGCCCTGTCTGTCCTGTTGAGAATGTCAATGTGATCGTCCTTTGAAAGCTGTGTTACTGGGTAGCCTCACCCACCCTGGGTCATGCAATCCCTGTGATTTGGTGACAGAAGGTCTGGTTACTGAAAATAAATATGTCCTCTTCTTCCTCTTCTCATCACTTGCCTCTAACTGGTGTTTTTATTTGTATAGAATAGTGAAGGATAAGCTTTTCTTCTTAACTGATAGCAAGTGGAGTCCTGGAAGAAAATTTAGCAATCAAATAGATTTTTAATGCCTTGCGCCTTTAGTACTGTTTCCAGAAACAGTTTTATGTATGTCCGAGATCCATGCGGGCACTTGATGGACAGCTAATCACACAGGGTGAATTATGGGAACGAGAGAACTTCAAGTTGTGAAGAATTTGGGAAACGTATCACAGCCCGTGTCCATCTCAAGCCCAGAACTGAACTTAGTGCTCTTGAGTGCAGTTTACTTTTGTTTTTACAGCTCAAATCCTGTCCAAAAGTTTCTTTGGAATGATGTCATAGATCATTATCTAGGCTTTGGAAGTCTTTAGTCACTCAAAGGGTTTATGAAATGGGCCTGACCTTTATGCTCTTTGAATCACTGAAGGGTACAGAAAAAAGTCTAGCTAAGAAATAATAATTGAGTATTTTTTTAAAAAGAAATATATCACAGCAAAGCATTGTTACAGATCTTTATAGTGTTTTACTTTAGTAGTTGATAAAATTATAGTCAGTCTTAAGCCTGAAGTCATTTTATTGCTAATTGTGTTACACAGCTGTCCTAGAACACATCTATTTTAAGTAGTCTCCTGAGTTAGTTCTGACTCCAGGAGACCTGCCCTAGTTCAGATAGACTTCCAGCCACCTCCATATAACAGCTTCACACACGCAGAAGCCCCTTTGCTGGAGAAGCCTAGGACCCTTCATCCTTTGAGGGAAATAGTGGATGTGGCCTTCTGAAAAATGTGGATGCAGCTTCTTACAGTGTTCGCAGTCAAACCCAGAAATGCCAGATGAAAACCGGATGAATCAAATGTAAATTTAAATTTTAATCAGTCATTTTAATTGGGATATAAAATTAGAAGTTTAAACCAGCATGCTCTACATTAAGAACCAATTCTTCTTAATGCTTGTCTTGCTCAATACCAGTTCCTTCCTTAGCATATGCTTTGTAAAGGTAGACGTCCATAAAATATTAAAACTGAGAAAACAAAGTTTTCACATTCAGCTGTAATGGAATTCCTAATTCATTAACACATTTAAGACACATATTGCGAGCTATGGGTAGGCTCCAAGAGAAAGTTTCTCTAATACTCACGTGTTAAGAGAGAAGTGAGTTTCCTTAGTTGTAAGGTTGAGTAGATGGCACCGTCTCAAAGGATAACAGGAAGAGATAGAAGAGTGCCTTAGGAGCACAAGCCCTCACAAAAGACATTCTGTTGTAACTTACCTTCTGCTTCCTATAGTGACTTTTTACAGGTCATTCTTTCCGGTAACATAGTGAACACTTTTGCAGACAGCAAAACAAAAGATCATATCAGATCACAAAAGAAAATAGCATCTTATGTGGAACACAAGTGGTATTTGTGAAAACTTAGAGAATAGAAACTCACAGGCGCAAAGAATAATGAGGATTTTGTAGTTTTACTAATTGGATTTTTAAAAAGCTATTTTCATTCACAGGTTATTGCAATGGTTCTCAGGGGATCCAAATAGGTAGGTCTTTGGTTTCTTCACCTGAACCACCTTGAGAGTACTGGATCAGTAGAATAAATAGTATTGGATGAATCAGTGAATTATTACAGTGTTAGTGGTAGACTTGACTGCTTTTACGGAAGAGGTTAACAGGGATCCAGACAACTCAAGTAATTGAGTTCTAGACTGTGAAACAGAGAGAAATGCCTTCACGCCACTCGTGGAGCACAGAATCAAAGCAAGCAGACTTCTTTGAGTAAGTCCTGGGGTTTGCAGAGGGTTGCCCCCCTGTCACTCCTCATCTTCAGAAGGGGTGGCAGCTTTTGTCTGTGTTGCATAGCCAGCAGTAACAATTACTGACTTTTTATTTCTCCTCGAAGATAAACTAACAAGGGAGGGCAGGGCAGAGAATACCTAAAAATTACAGTAAGGACAGGCAGGGGTCAGGGGCAGCTAGAGCAGTAAGGAGAGAGAAGAGGGATGGGAGAGAAAGGACAGGGGTGCATCCTGAAGAGCTGCACGCCAGGCGGAAAGCACTGAGGCGGGGTAGGGGGCCTGGTACTCCTGGATCCTCCCCAGGTTTTAGAATGAACTGTATGCAGTAGAAGAGCGGAGCCCATGGACCTATTGAGCCTGGACTGAGGCAGGCTGTAGATATTCTCAGCATATAAAATGGCATGCTGGGGAAGGCCAGTAGACATTGTGTGCATAAGCCTTGTGGAAGGATGACATAGAGATCCTTTGAGAGGTCAGGCCTACCTGTTCCTGGACCAGATCTGGAGGACAGTGAAGTTCAAGTCAAATCAGTGTAGTCTTCCTTCCCCATGACTAGCCTCATGTATGAAGTCAGCTTGGTTGTCGTAGTCTTCAACAGGAGATAACCAGGAAAAAGTTCACATCAAAAAGAAAATCTTTAGTCTTAATTTTTACCTGTACCAGACTCTTATCTTCAGATCCAAGTAGGTATATTACTTGGCTGTTTTCATTTTGAAAATTCAATGAATTATATCTGTTACTTAATTTTTCCTTATTTCCAAAAGATGTGTATCTGACACTGTCCTAAAATACTGATGTACTGGAAATACAAATAATAAATACTTTCTATGTAGAACTTCCTCTTGCTTTTGTGCTTTTAATACAGTTACAAGATGTTGCAAAGTTGTAAATGTTATATGTGTTGCCATGTTGCATTCCAGTTCAGTGGAATAAATTGGAGAAGCTGGGATCTTGAAGTTGGTCCAGTCACCGGAAACCCTGTGCCAGGAGGCGGAGAACCAGGCAAGGAACCTGGGTGATCGGAAGGTCCTTGAGCTCTGACCCCAACTTCTGGGTTCTCCCCCCAGGGAAAAGCAGGAGCATATGTGAGCCGCTTTGCCTAGATTAAAGAGAAACCAAATCTTGGCTGCTTTTCCCCAGACCCTGATCGATCTGTTTGTGAGGTGACACAGGATGCAAAAACTGGGGACCCAAAGAAGGGTCCTCCCTGAGAGACAGCTGGTCTCTGAAGGCTGCCTTGTGTGAATGAAGCCTCCCATGATCCAGAAGGGTCTCCTGACGGCAGGGAGATGGGCCAGCTTACCTCCGCAGCTCTTCTCTGGGGGGTTGGAAAAGACCAGTCCATAAAGTGGGTGATGCAAAGGGTGGGGGACACTTGCTTCCACAGGAGCCCTTCCCGGCAGAAGTTGGAGCGCATGCCCACTTCTCTTTCCTTACCCAAAGCGACATTCTCTGTAGTCGAGCACAGCTGACACGCAGATGCGGAGGGCATGTGACGGGGAGGTCATGGCGTTAGATTTTCATTTTCTGTCTGGGTGGAATTGTTCTTGTATG